TTCTGTCACATCCTGAAATATTCGTACCTCCATAACCTTCCTATATCGACGAACAATAACCAGATTTTATTGATTTTACGACAAGGAAGTTGCGATCTCACGACCTACAGCAATGTCGTAGGCCGTAACTTCGCTATGAAAAAGCATATTTGAATGCTGATTCTTTTTTTTGTTTATTTATACAATGTGAGATTATTCTTTGCTGATTGCGTTTCGCGTCGGATCAATTCGCAAGCTTTTTGTACAAAAATTGACAACAACATCTTTGAATTCTTACTTCGTTGTCACATAACTATTCAGTCACAGAAAAAACTTCTGCGGTATTATCAACAAATTTCTTACAATTTTTCGTTGTATAATATTTTTTGAAAATGAACTTGAGATATTTGTCAAATTTAAAGCTAAATTCCGGTTGGTTTTGACTTCGAATTAAATTCAGAAATCACGTTTTAATAATATAACATCAAGGTCACACAAACAATCTCAATAAGACGATCAAAATAATATAAAATCGCAATACTTTTTCTCGTCAAAAAACATGGTTATTCCGCATGTCTTAAAATGTTAAAATGCTTTGACAACTCAAGCTGGTAAAATAATCATCAAAGATTATTCTATTCTAACAATAATTAACAACACAATACCTTGGATGCAACTCGCCCAACTATCCATGACCATGACCAGCATTTAAATGTCCCTTCCCTTTTCATACAACTTTCACTCAAAACCTCTCCTTCCCTTCAAACAGAATAAGATTATTGCTACCAAAATAATACAATTACAGATTACCATAGTTAATTCTACGATGTTCCTTTCTGATTACATTTGAACGCAATACTTTTACTCGTTTAGAAACATGGATAGAGCTCATATCGTGATATTTTAAAATGCTCTTACAACTGAATCGGGTAAAATCACCGACAAAAATCATTTTATTCTAACCTCTTTCGACGACGCATTCCTTTGTGCGCAACTGGCCCGACTATTCATATGATGTGAATTTTAATTATACCTTCCTCCCCTTATTATAACTTATATCTTGCTTTCACGAGAGTTCTTTTCTGTTTATTTATACAATATGAGATAATTCTTTCTTGATTGCATTTCGCGTCGGATCAATTTGCGAGCTTATAGTACAAAAATTGATTAAAAATTAGGTTTCCTATTTCTATTTCAGCAACTAATTTCAGTACGTTAATAATTAATTTGCATGCCGATAAAAATGAGCAGTATATATAATAGAATAGCAAAGTGACCGAGACTGGTATCTCAGCTGAAATTATATGTGGAATTCTCAGGCACAAGGCAGTTAAGTACAAATACATTAAATTTTATTGGTTGAACACAAAATCGCCTTTCTTGCCATAGTTAAAATATCAGTCTGTAAAAAACTGGCATCGCGCAAATGAAAAGTTACAGAAATACATTTGTGTTCGCAGCAAAACTTTAGAATCATTACTAAATTAAACCTCGCTGTTTATGCCATGACAAAAAAAATAAGACAAATTGATAAAATATCGTGTTTTAGTGTGTGAAATTTTACTACAATAGAATAGTTTGAAGTGTTATTTTTTTCATTACATTTGAGTGACATGTTTTCAAAAGTTCAGCACAAAATCCTATTTTGCAAAGTGCTTTGTATTTCTCATAATAATAATAAATAAAACTGTCGAACACAAATTCTCAATTTGTTCCATTCATCGTTCTGGCAAAATACATTAACCAAACAGCTCACCGACTTGCTTCAATGCCACGTTTCCCCCCTAGGATGGAAGTTCTACTAATATTCTTAGTTCTTCAATATTACTATAATTTATATTTATGCAAACTTCATTCCACTGTTTTCACTAATTTCACTGTTCGTAAGCGGAAGTACGAAGCACGCATAAAACTAGCAAATGGTCCAATAAAGTTTAAACAAATAAAGTAGGTTTTATACAAAGTGAGGAAGGAATAAAGAGTCCCCAAATAGGCAAATGAGACGGATTCAACAAAAAAGGTCAGGAACCACTGCTCTAATGCAGGGGTGTGCAACCTGCGACGCGCGGGCCAAATGCGTCCCACAAGAAAAAATTCTGCGGCCCGCGGAGAGTTGCCAATTGTGTGCGGTCCACGAAACAAGTTTTCAATTTAGTTTATTCTGGCAAGTGCGAGTAATTCCAATCTCACAATTCCCTAACAGCTAGCTTGTGCGAAGCAAACAGAATTTTTAAAAGATCAATGTCATAAGATCAATACCCAACATTTTTGTGCCTACAACTACCAGAAAGGCAATGTTGAATAAAGTTGCGGCCCGCGGTTTTACCCGGTTATTTGAATCTAGCCCATCTGTATGAAAGGTTGCACGCCACTGCTCTAATGGACTAAAACTAAAAGACTATACACCATGACAGATGTTGAATTCCTTTAATCAGATAATTTGTTTTTAAATTGGATCCCACAACTCCCAACAGGCTAAACATTAACGGTAATTAAATTGAGAAGGCGTTGGAATTGTACTTAACCTTGCCAGCTCATGGCACAGATCAATGGTAAAAATATCAAAAATATCGATCTAGCCCTGACATTAGTAAACAACGGCTGCGGGGCAAATTCAGCCCGCTAGGTAATTCAATATGGCCCGCCTGGTGCTGCCACAATCAAACTAAAAACAAATTTTTATGTTTTAGTTAAAAATAACTCAAGGAATTTGTTGAGATTGCGATCAAATCTAGTTTCGGCACAAAGATTACTGTTTTTTGCTTTTGTAACACTGTAAATATCGTTCACAAAATGTAACTTTAACGTCACACTTACATGGCCCGCCAGTATAGATGGGCATAATTCCTGGACCCTGCTCCAAGAAGCTTGCCCACCCTTGACCAGCCCATTAGTTCTCAACCTCTATTTCAGTTTGAAAGAAATCTTAGCCCCGCAAAACCACAAAAATTCCGAGTATCATGAAAACGTTTTTCATTAATATAAACCAGAGGGTGTGCAACCTTTAATTCAAGAGGGCCCGATATACGAATAAAAGTACGCTCGAGAAGTGTGTGTACCAATATGGATTTAACTAAATTGGCACTTCTTCGCAGGACGCAAATTTTTTCTCTTGTGGGCCGCATTTGGCTCGCAGGCCTCAAGTTGCACATTCCTGATATAAACAAAAGAATAAATATTTGGATCAAGAATAAACCTGAATAAAAAAATAAACGAAATTAAATTTTGAAAATTTATTTCGAATAATTTGTGGAAAATATAAACGAATTAAGAAAGAACGATAGTTCATTATTAAATGCTAAGGACCCGATGGACTTTAAAGTTATAGATATTGGCCTGCTATCCTAGATAATCCGCCCTTATTTTCGACTGTATGAATAAAAAGCAATTTTATTTTGACATGCTGACTTTTTCTTTGGCGGTTCGGGAGTTATCCCGGGAATGGTTGATACGATATGGCCTACCCCAAACTGTGGTAACGTCGAATGCCGGTAAAGTTCTGGTATGGGAATAACCAAGCCCTAGAAGATAATTATTTCTGGCGGTTGGTGTTATCAATAGCACTGGAAAGCCACGAGTCTTCATTTATCAAAGACCCGGAATGAAATTTATATGAAATACTCCACAGTCTTCATCCATTAACCACATAAGAGATTTAACTCAATGATTGACTGGACTTGAGGCAAGAGCATTGCCAGCCCAAAATTGGGCGGGGGGAGCATTTTTTTTTGTACAATGACATAATACGACGCTTACTCGTGCCTTTTGCTCCGAACAAAACCAGATAAATGTAGCCACTAATATCTAACAATATCTTAAAGAATCGGGCTGTCGAAGATATCCAATGCATACAGACACGCTTTTCTTCTATCTCGGTTGGTTGGAAAAGGATTATTGATGGCAAGCCAGGAAACATTGATTATTTTATACAAAATATACATAATTCAATTATTGCTCACATGTTAATCTCGATTCAAATCAATTTCATTGAAGCAGACGGCAGGTATGAATTGAAATCATATTTACCGAATCGAAACGTAACATGGCGCAAATATTTGAGTTATCAAACATAAATCAATTTTCACAATATGATTAAAATATACCTATCAGTGCACAAATCTAATGTGGTTAATTCAAATTAGCGTATACTAATCATATGGCGTTGAGGATTTTGCCCTTTGATACACATGAAGATTTTATTCACGGAGAGCTGCATGATTTTTTTTTGTTAATTTTGCAAGAAAGAATAGCAGGCCTGCTCGTCCAACAATAAAAGAAAACTAGTTAGATTTGAAAATTACTTAACGAATTGAAAAATTAGCTCCAAAGCCGCGGAAAAGGCAAAAGAAGAGAATTCCCGCTATATATAGCTTACCATCTCAGTACTAAAGACACCGGACAAACGACGAAAGATTTAACGCAGCGACGAAACCAAATATCATTATGTATTTTTACCCATGTGAGTGCCTTCTCAACTGTCGCGTTAGAATTTTATGACTGTTGGGGAAAATCAGAGTGCTTACAAGAGTCGAACTAAATGGCTTGGTTTGTGCTCCAGCCTCGTGAAGCCAAAACCGAAAATTCGACGCTGAAAATCTTAATGGAATTTTCACACTGTAGATTCGCCATTATGCCAAAATGCCCTACAAAATCTAGCGCTTAACTGTTCGACACCGTCAGTAGGCATTTCGAATCAAATAGTAAATTATTCAATGATTTCAGACGAAAATTTTGAATCGCCACCATCTCTATTTCGTTCCACAAAGGTCGAGGTGAATCCGTCATCATCCGTCAAAAATGTATACAATTGAATATCTGGACCTCCTGAAGTATGCGCACCAAGATGGCGCACAACCTGAACATAGTATGTGTGTGTACCTGTCAGGATTAAGGTTGTGCGACATCTTGGAGCGCATACTTCTGGAGCACCGAATATCTTCCAAGAATTCGAGATTCGATTCGGAAATCATCAAGTATTCGAAAATATCCAGCCCTAGGTTGCAAATAATGCAAACACAACACAAAAGTTTGTGAATTTATATTTCAAGTATATTAAATGAAATTAGAAGACAAGCTGCTGGAGTTGGAACCAAGTTTAAGGCTAAAACATATCGAAATATTAACTTATGGTTTGGTTACTTTATCGAAGAAATGTTGAGAAAATGTGCCTAATTTTTTTTCAGGAGGATACTTCACATAAAAATTTGAATATAAACGAAACGAATACTTTTTATCGGGAGAGAATTTGATACAAACATTGAATACCAGATAAGTGTTATGTCAAAATTATAACAAAAAATTCTTGAAAACTTCTGGAAACGCTCAAAGTTTATACCTAATGAATTCTCAAGATTTCTTAGAGGAAAATTGATACGAATAATTGAATATGGGACAAATTCTTACACCAGTTGTGAGCATACATTTTGGAAATATCAACTTAGGAGCATCAAACATGAATTTTGATTCAAACAAAAGAATTTCTTGTACACAGACTTCTCAAGAGAGAACTTAACACAAATATTTGAACATTGAGCAAATTCTTACACCAAAAAAGCAGCCAGTATGCATTTTGGAAATAGGATAAACTTCAGGGACTTTTTAAGACTACACAAAAAAGGGCTCTCCAGAAGTGTGTGTACCAATATGGAGGTAAATAATTTTGTTTGCCTACTTTACATCAAATTGAGTAAAGTTGTATATCCACTTGGCTATCGCAGACAGTCCCTGAACTCTTAATAGAACTACAATAGAAAAAATTGGAATAAAATTAAGGTCTAACCCCAACCTGGGACACACACTACGAAAGTACCCAAAAATAAACTTGGAAAATGTAGCAAAGAAGAATGTTTAATCCTATCTATGAGACTCTCTCTCAATATTCTATAAAAATTAGCCCTTTACTGTCCCAGTATTTATTTCAAGCTATGAACCATTTCTTCTTTGGATATAAGATGGGTCGTCTTATTTACAAGTGACATGAGCTGATTAACATTGTGTGACCATTCAGTTAGTACATCGCTTGGATCCTTCGGTCGTGCGAAGTTGACGACACCATCAAGACGATCTATCTTTGCGTAGACTGTTTTGTTGACTACGAGCTTGGAAAGATAGTCCTCGGCTTCCTGTAAAAAAGTTTTGATTGAAAAAAATTACATATTTCAATTAGGTCCAATATGAATTTTTGGCACTGCAAGGTTTTTCACGGTTTTTGCTCATTTTTTTTACAAGGTTTTTGGTGATTTTCCAAGGTTTTTGCGCATTTTTAGTGATTTAACATTTAACAATTTGCTCGGTTTTGACAAGGAATTTGGTGATTTTTTAAGATATTTGCAAGGTTTTTTGTGGTTTTTCACGATTTTTGCTTGTTTTTTTTTTTACAAGATTTTTGGTGTTTTTTCGAAGTTTTTGCGCATTTTTAGTGATTTAACATGGTTTTTTGCTCGTTTTTGGTGACTTTTTATGGTTTTGACAAGGATTTTGGTGATTTTTTAAGATATTTGCAAGGTTTTTTGTGGTTTTTCACGTTTTTTGCTTGTTTTTTTTACAAGATTTTTGTTGATTTTTCAAGATATTTGCACGTTTTTGATGGTTTTTGCAAAGTTTGTGCTGATTTTTCATGGCAGTAGATCCAGGTCTATGGAGTCGGGAGTCAGAGTTTGGCATGTTTATTTTAACATTGAAGTCAGGAAGCCAGAGCCATATTTTCAAATTCCTTAGTCTGAGTGATTTTTGTCCTATCGGTTTTTTGAGTGAAGTAGTTTGGATTGGTATTGTCAACTCAATTTATTATACATTCTGTAGAGAAGTGGTCACCGTGCCCACAAATTGGTTTCAGATAAAATCTAGAGCAGGGACCAGAGTGTTTCATCCGTTTCACTTGTGCACATAGAAAATTCAACTATAGTTTCTATTGGATATAAGTTTGCATTAAAAAAATTTTGATGAAAATAACGAATCGTTGGCTAAAATATAGACAGTAATTCCCCATGTAATATCTGCGCCTAATATAATGCACCATTTGGTATATGTAATTGTGATACTTGGTACACTCACTGTTTGTTGTACATTAGATGTTATGCTAGTTATTTGTAAATGAACTGTTTTTTCTTCATAGTTTCATATTGAGTTTCAAATACTGAGTCAGTAACTAAGTCTATTATCTGTACCGGCCCACCTAGAAAAGTAACTGCCCGCCCTTGAGTTACAGCAACATTCATCTTACCTGCACAGAAAGAGTCAAAAGTTCTGACATTCTCTTCATAGTAATCCTGGTGTAGTATTTGGCCAGGATTCGAATATTCTGAAAAAAAATTTAACAATTACTTTTTTTACTTGGTTCAGCATTGCGTACCAATTTATCACAAAATGTTTACAGCAGTGGTTCTCAACCGCCGAATATATTTCAATATAAATATATTATAAGCAAATTGCAAAATACAAAGTATTGACGGCATGTCCATTAATTTTGTGATTTTATAACTCTTATTGATTCGTAGTACCGGTATTCACCTAACAACCAAACTTGGTTAGAGGTCCTCTGCCCACTTCAAGCCCTGAACGGTTAGATGTTCAATAAGTTTTGTGTTCATGACATTTTTGGTTAATTAGGGGTGCCGATCTGCAAAATTTGTTTTGAAATTTTACTGGTCCGCGAACTGAAAAAGGTTGAGAACCTCTGGTTTAGAGTGTTTAACTGTTTATACGTCTTCACTCACTGTCTAAGTAGCCACCGATTTATATGAATGTTGGCACTACAAATTAAATATACAGGGTTCCAAACATCACTCCAACCACATCACTCGAGGTTGTAATAGATTGGCTAATCAGACGCTGCTTGTTTAGAACCCTCTTCAGAATAAGCTGTAAAAATTCCTAGTAAAAAAGTATTTAAATTTGGTACTCCCATAGTATGTTAACCAAAATGGCGGACACCGGAACGTAGTATGTGTACCAGGTTGGGCCATAATTTCAGGTACAAATACTACGGGTGTCTCTTGTCTAGTCCCCCAAACTCGTAACAGAACTAAAATAAGAGAAATTGGAATAAAATTATGGCCTAACCCTAACTTGGTACACATACTATGTTCAAGTGTCCGCCATCTTGGTGCACATACTACGGGAGCACCTTAAATTTAATAAACTTCAACTTACATGTTCCACTACTCTGTTTGCAAAATGTTTCCATCTTGTATTCCCATCATCAGTATGTAGGAACACATCAGTACATGGACTACCTGGGCTTCCATCACGAAGTTCTTTTTCATACATTTCACAAACATGCTGTGATTGCATGATTTCTTGAGACACAAATGATTGAAGAAGAGATCTGGTGTGAAAGAAAGGTTAAATTTAGTGATATACAGGGTGTCCAAAAAAATTCACAGGATGTCCGAGGTTCGTGTTGTTACTTATCGATTTTAATCGGTAAGTATGCTGATGGGTATTTGTCTGTTTGTCTGTCTGTCTGTTAGATGCACGCGATATCTCACAAAAGCGAGATTGAATCTGCGCCAGATTTTGCATGTGCATTCATCATATGTCGGATCAGAAGCCTATTGATTTTGGATGAATTATGTCGTATAATTAGCGAGTTATTAATTAATTAGTGATGGGACACAAGGTGTCACTATGGAGTAAGAGTGCTATTTTGGGGGATCCCCTAACTTTCGATAAGTAAGTTTTCGGTCTCTGACCGATATTCCGTTTCCCTATCAGCGACCTCGAGCAAATTTTTCTTATAGCTATGAGTTGAGTCCATGGGTCGGACAAAACATCTACGCAAGCGGCTATATGCATCGTAGCATTTCAGAAGCAGCATGCAGCTCCGCTACCATCAATATATTGTAGTTAAATATCAACTCATTGATATTGGCTTTGATCGTATCATTTCAGCAAAAAACATGACTATTTGAGCATGGCCTTATAATGTCATGTTTCAAGCTCTTATCTTTTGTTTTTCTCGTATGTCCAAAAAATTCCGTCCGATTTCAAGGTGGTATCAATTAAAAATTTCTTTGTCTTTGTTTATTATTAGTTCCTATTGTGTTGAACAATTGAGAATTTCAAAGCGACTGGTCCAGTAGTCAAAGAGAATAACGATTTTTTCACAAACAAGAAGAAGGAAAATACTAACAACATAATAACAAAATGATCATATATACACTTTGTGTCCAATACACTGTTTGAATAGAGAGATTGTAATTCATTCATGCGGATTGCTGGACTCCTCGCCGCCGTAGGGTGGTTCACGCAACCGCTGGTCGGTTGCGGCTTCCTCCACCATCAAGTCCATGTTTGCTAAAACAAATAACTAACTAATCCCATATCCGACTTGAACTAATAACCGGACGCCAGGCTGTAATTCGCTATATGGTTAAGCCGTCCTATCACCTTTCTTCTCCCCGGGATAAATATGTAAATCCTGTCCTATATACCCTACTTGTACTTGGGAATTTCTTCCAGTTTTTTCTCTTGTTTTGTTCTTTCCAGCATATCTGATTGTTCATTGTCATATGGAGATAATATAACATACAGCACAACACTCTTCAATGCCTAGGAAATAAAAAATAGGAAAATGGTTTGAAAAAAAACTCCATAATAACAGTCAGTATAGTCAACTGGAAATTGTAATTGCAGATATTTTTTTAATGTATTTTTGCTCGGGAGAAAGCCAGAGGGCCCCAAATAAGCATGCAAGATATTGAAGACGCTATTGAGATCAGACGAAGCATAGTTTACAACAGGGAAGGCGAACCACTGATCTGCGGGCCACAATGTGACCCACTGCGTTTTATGCGTGACCCGCCAAGGCACGAATAAAATGGAAAAATGCTAATATATCAGTGATAAAAATTGATAAAACCAGCCTTGATAGAATCTAACAATAACTAAACTCTTTTAATGTACCGTCAAGTTGGGTAGTCAGTACTGCGATCGCTGATATTCAAATTGATAATTTTCAGGCCTGTGTGGTCATTTTCAAAACCCCCTAATCTTGGACGCATGTCTGCACCGCTGTGTATCGTTATTCAGCTATTGGCTCTAACATCGTTTATGACATAACAATGCAATTGATCTGTTCATTTCTCACAACGCTGTTATAGGGGTTATACGAGAACTACATGCTACTTTGGATTTTATTAGTTTCTCACCTACAATGTTGTTGAGAAAACAAAATCTTACAGACTTAAATAAATATCTAGAAATATGAATTAACAATGAGGCAGAGTAAAAGTACATTATTGTGGTTGAAAGCTGATCGAAAAATATAACATTATCAGAGTGGAATTACCTCCAAACGCTTTGGAGCCGTAAAATAATTTGCTGCATCGTTCTAAACGTTTTTGGTAATTCATATGCCTGTTTTCGAACTCTAATTTCATAAAATTGAGTGCCATGAAAAGTCCCTGATAGAAGTAAAGCCCAAAACTACACCATCACCAACAGAAGCTAATAAGATTTGTTTCAGAAGTTTTTTATGGATACAAACATGAATAAATATCTGTGACCCACTCTCTTCTTTTCCGAGATAAAAAAAAATTATTTGACTCATCGATTGAAAAAAAATCGCCATCCCTGGTTTACAATATTACATGAATCCCAAGCAAGATGTTAAACTTGTCTTGAACAATTCAAGCAGTGGAGTAAAAATCATTGAGTTTCTGTATTCAAATTCAAACCAGCCATTGCTTATGGCAGGGCTACTCAACTGGCGGACCGCGGTCCAAATCCGGACCTTTTGGTTATTCGATTTGGACCGCTCACAATTCCTTATTTTGGATCATTAGCCCCACTTTTGAAGCTTCCTTTTATAAAATCACTCTTATAGATTTAAAATATATATGAAAAGGACTATAACGCCATACCAAACAATCTTATCATTAGTCGGCCGAGGAATTGCGTGTTTAAGGATGCCGAAAAATAATTCCTGGAAAGGATGGACCTAAATATTTTTGAAGTTTTGTATGCGGACCTTCGGTAAAAATAGTTGGGTAGCCCTGGCTTACAGCATTCCAAGAAGCCCCAATGGCCATATGTCAATCGGGACCATCTATTCACCACTATTCCTGCTAATTGCAAGACAACCTTTACATGCAAAAGTTTGCCAAGATTCTCGTTCGAATCGTAACATGGGTAACAGGTTAGGGTTAGGCGATAATTTTTTTCCAATTTTCCTTATTTTAGTCCTATTATCAGTTCGAAGACTAACCAAGAGCCTCCCGTAGTATTTATAGCTAAAATTATGGCCTAACCCTAACCTAGTACACATTTTACATTCCGATGTCCGCCCTCTTGGTTCGCATACTTCGGGAGCCCCCCCTTTCCAATATCAAATAAACCATTAAAAAAATGAAGCAAATATACCTGTTGACATTTCATCGGATCATTCTGAATGAGCGGTGTATCGTAAACAGCTTTAAAATGCTTGCAAGTTGATAAATAGGAATTCTCTGACAAGTCCAGTTCTATCATCATTTCGTAGTATCGTAGTTTCAGTTTCTAAGAAAAGGATGAAATTTACTAAACTAGTAGATTGTCTAGTGCAGGTGTGGGCCTCGTGCCAAAACTAAGTTTAATCACAATCTCAACAACTTACTTGAGCTATTTTTCAGCTAAAACATCAAAATTTGGTTTTAATTTGGTTGTAGCAGCATCAGGCAGGACAGATTGAATTACCCAACGGGCTGGATTTGGCACGCGGAGTTTACCAATGTCAGGCCTAGTGGGTAGAGTGTTACTTTATGTCAGTGTTTCCCAAACTTTTTAGGCCGCAGACCCGTTTGCAAATCCCATTTTTACGGACCCCCATCCAACGCAAATCAATTTATGTGCCTAACCAACGAGGATGAATTATGTTTCATCTGGATTTAGAACACAACAACACAAATGACATTAATGTGAAGAATCAATTTGTGATAAAAAAAATTCATAGGCCCGACTCTATGGCAACGATTCTATACAGTTTTACATATGTTTGGCTGAAATAGAACCTATGAAAGTCTGAATCCATACATAATTTAATTGTGTATTCTTGGATAGTCTCACACAATTAACTTGGTTTCACGCTTCTTTCTTGCCGCAACGGGGATCAGATGACCTTGGCAAACTATCTACATCAGAAGTGAGCAAGATTTTTGGACCAGCGGCCAGACCAGTTGGCCATATAAGTGTGACGTAAAATATTACATTTTATGAACAGAATGGTAAGAATGCATGAGCTATGAACAAAAAATAACGTTAAAATGACGTTATTGGGGCGCTAACAAAACTTTCAGGCAAGTCAGAATAAATCACCCAACAGGCCGGAATTAGCCAAAGTTAGATCTAAATTGACTATATGGATATCTGTGAAAGAGATAGGGATAATATAAAAAATTTCAGGAAATATTGGCTGCAAAAACAGCAAGTCTCACTTGAATTTCTTCGTCCTCAGATTCAAAATATTTGATGCTAATTTTTTTGCTGATGATTTGAGCTCGAATGTAGTCCTTCTTTGCAAGACATAATCTCATCTGCTCAAGTATGAACTCAACTTTCTCTTTACGCTCCATACTTCCAAACGTTTCAACCTAAAATTAGGACAACGAAAGATAAAGTATTGTAGTTTTTGAAAAAGAAAAATTTCACATAAAACTTTAATTAATAATATAAAGATAAAATAATAGAATACAGTGAAATAAATTGTTTCAACCAACAAATTTGATTTGTAATTTATATCCCCTGAGTCATGCTTCAGGGCTAATTTAGGTAAAAAGTGAAATATTAACAAAAAGTAAATGACAGTAAAATGAATGATTTCCAACGAAAACATGAAAAATTTATTCATAATGTTGTTTCTGTCACATGAGGCGGGCCTCAAGATTTGCCTTGAAAGAAATCAAAAATTAAAAAAGAAGATTTATAAGAAATGCCCTTATTTTGACTCTTTTTTATCAATGGCATACATAGCCTACTAGAAAGAAATGCACCTTCATCCCCATTTACCATGTGTTTTAAACCAGGAATCATCAAACTGAGTCCCTGGTCGTCGTAGGGTCATGGCACAGTGCTCGTGTAATTTGTTCTCTTCTTTTAATTGTAATGAATATTTTTTGGGGGGGAATAAGCTCATCTCAAATTAATATTAAATAACACATTTATAAAGTGTGTGATAAAGGCACTGATAAATTGATAATATTTAAATGTATTTAAATTGAAAACATCACTATGAAGTTCTGGATTTGAAATATCAGCAATTATCTTACTTGTAATTCCTGCAATATACTTGCAGCTTCAGCAATTTCACCTCGATCTTCTTTGATTTTTGCCAAAATTCTTGTCAATCTTGCTCTTTCAATTTCAACGTAAATCTAAGAATTGAAAAATAGGGTTTCAAAAAACAGCCAGCTTGACTGTTGGAGCGTCTCTCTAAGCATTGTAAACACATTTGCCATTGATTACACTGCGAAAGTTCAAACAAAATAAAAAAGAACGAAGAGTTCATTACTTCAGATATGAATGCACAGCCAATTTCACTTAATCAAATGAATCAGTTTGTTAGCTACTAAAAACTTGTGGAAAACTAATTGATGAATATTCATTTTAGACAAGTTAACATTTACAATACTTTGCTACCCCAATAAAAAGACACAGCTAATTTTTTATTTCGCTAAGTTTTTATTCTGTTATCTTTGGTTACAATAGGTAAGTTTAAAGGTAGGATGACGACCTAACCCAACTCAAGATAAACAGATTTAAAAAGGTGATTTTATTTTTACCAACGTTAAATCCTTTTATTTTGTTAAGGCCAAATTGCTTGAAGTGAATATCCTAGGAACAAAACTACTAGTGGCTCTATGAGAGTGAAAATTGTCACTGTTAGAAATTTCTTATAATAAGCTAAACCAAATACTTCTCGTAATACTTCAATAGTAATAAAAAAGTAGGCTATTCAAAATCAGTTACCTTTCCTTCAGTTACTGTTCTCAATGTATCAATCAATTTTAATTTAGTTTCCATATCAGGTGTTTGATCAACATATTTATAGCATTCTTGGACCATCTTTGCAACTGCCTGAAAAACGAATGTGAATTTTACCAAGGGGCGACATGTTTACATAATGAGATACATAGACATATGCAATGAAACATATTTATTAGTACTTGAATAAGAAGGAAAATAACTGCCATTTATGATTGAAAAATGTTAAACTAGGCTCAAAAAGTTAGGGTTTAAAGAAATATACATTGCCAAACTGTGGGAAATCCCGGTGGAATTTTGTTATTCTTGGAGAGAAATTTAGCTTTGTACTTGCTATAGTATTGTTATTTATTAGCTGTTTATTATCATTATTACTATATCTATAATACTTATTTATGCATATATTATGAACTAATCAAAACTATACAAATACTTGCGCATAACTATAGTAGATCTTATACAAAGTGAGGGAGGAAGTTATTTCGGACGATCATCTCAAGATATGGCGCGGCGGTGTGGCTCAACGGGCTAAGCGTTAGGAATACGCTCGCCACCGCACCTCTAATTACTCTGCGTCGGTTCGCAGGTTCGAATTCCATGCAGGGATGGTTATGTGCGAGAGGATTGCTGGACTCCTCGCCGTCGTTGGGTGGTTCACGTAACCGCTGGTCGGTTACGGCTTCCTCCACCACCAAGTCCATGCTTCCGAAATGAACTAGGCTTGCACGTAATTGACAAAAATCAATTCCGTAATTACGGCAAAATCAATTACGTAATGACCCCGTAATTGCGATATTTTTCCATGCATTTAAACCTATCATAACAACCAATTGAATCCACTTCTTTTCCGAATGGGACATTGAAGTTGGGTTTTCATATTCTTGGCAGTACTACACGCCGTCGGCAGATGTTAAAGGCAAATATCGAGGAGTGAATTCAAATTAATTTTATTCTGATTTTTATCTTTTGTGTTAGCTTTGGTTTTCCTTTATCACCTTCGCAAATTAACCGTCCCATTTTTATGCGATCAATTTTATTTTATTATTACCGACACTGGTATACGGATATTTATGGAAACGATAGTTTTTTAAAACCACCTTAGTGCTGAATAAAAATTACGGGTTTCTAATTTATTAACTAACGACGAGCGTATTCTCTCGTTTGATTATACTTGCGATTTCCTCGCGACGAAGACTTGTTTTTGCAGCGTCTTCTGCATTACCCGATATTACTGCCTTGTTAGCATTTTATAATAATAATTATTGATGTCGACTTATTGACGATATTCCGATTACCATGCTTCATTTTACATTCAATCATTTCGCGGACTGAATGTTTATAACATTATTTGCGATAAATTTAAGATCAAATATTATTTATTTGAGTATAATTCAAATATGGAACTTATATGATATGCCTTCTCCGAAAACACAAAGTTATATCGCAAAACAATGCATTTTGTGACATTTATTTTACACTCACGACATTTATTTGCTAACTCAAGTCGTCGATCCTATCGGCCAAGATTGACACAAGTTTGGTCGAGTGCCGGTGGTATTCAAGTCGACGATAAATCAAATTAAGTTGCCGCATTTGGTAAGACAGTTAATCATATATGGCCGAAATATTGAGAGGAATTGTGAAAAACATCATGAGCAAGGCCAAGTCCGGACAGATATATAACGATAAAACCGTTAACAGAACATCAAGATTTTGTAATAGAAAATGGATCTCGCACAGAATAAACACACTGGCTCATATTTGATTATATATGATCCGTCGTTTTGCTGTTTCTCTGCCGTCTCAATCGCTTTACCGATGCCGAGAAGACGAAGTTGCGTTGGTTCATTACGCAATCTCTCTTTTGTCGTCATATTGCTATTTGATAAGCGCGACATTAATTATCACGGCGAGGTATTGGCGCGAGTGATCAATCGCTCTTTTCGCTTATTCGGTTCCAATTCGTCGCGAAAGCTCTTCGTTAAATTTCACAAGATCGTCGTGCTGAAATGTTATGGATATTTTCCTGTTTATACCCCAAGTCTGAAATAAAACAGCCAAAAACAGTATGATATTCCATGTTCATATATCAAGTGTTCATATTAACAATAAAGAATGGTTAAGCATTGCTAATCCACACTTGGTGGGGAATTCCCACTATTTAAACGCGTGACTATAAAATAGAAACGGAACATATATATTATATACCATAAGTAACGGAAAACTGGAACAAGTAAATAATAAATAAAAGTAAAATGGATACAAATGTTTGATAGACCATGTTTGAAAGATTGATCTCCTGCGTTCATTAGTCATTTCACACGAAGAAGTTGAAACCGGGCGTGTTAACGTCCATCAGTCTTAACACAATTCTTCCCCCTATCTACGGTTATTATGTACATTGGCCACGGCCATGCTAGATAAGAAGCGAGAGAAGTTGAAACCAGGTGTGTTGGCGTCAATAGGTCTCAACGCAATTCTATCCCTTATCTACGGTTAAGTTACGGGAGAAGTTAAAACCAGGTGTGTTGGCGTCAAACGGCCCTACTCAGTTCTTCCCCCTTAACTACGTTAATAATTTACATTGGCCATGCCAGAGAAGTTGATAATAGGTTAGTAAATGGCAACGCGTCAGGCCTTCCTTCACCTACGTAACAAGAGAGAGAAAAACGGCTGCGAATACCGGAACTCTCTTCTACTTGTTGAGCTTTCATTTTTCGCAATCGACGAAATTGACTGCTTTGAAGAAAGCTCGTTTCAATGCAATAATTACGACTTTACGTAATTCGTAATTTCCCTTCCGTAACTCCAAATAATTACGTAATTCCGTAAATCCGTAAATTACGTGCAAGCCTAAAATGAACAATACAGTATAACTAATCCTATACCCGACTTGGAATGATAACCGGACGAGAGACCGTGGTTCGCCATATGGATAAGCCGTCTTATCGGCTTTCCTCTCCCCCGGGATAAATATGTAAATCCTAATCCTATTGTCATTTTTTCTTTCAATTTGATATTTATTTTAACAGCAATCATTTAAGCATATCAAATATATAAGTATATTAACTTGAATGAGCTGAACCTACCCTTATAAAAGAATTTTGTCTTTTTCAAAAACAATCTATTTCTTTATACAAAAATGTGTGCTGGTCAAAGCCTTGTCTAGAGAAAAATTTATCAAAAAACATCTAAACATACTTGTTTGAGTTGGCTTCTTTTCTTGGTGATGACAATAATATTATCGTTGAGCATGTCCCATTCTTTTGCTTCAAAGCAGAGTTTCACAATGGTCACAAGAAGTTTTCCGGTAGAGATCATATCACCAGCCTTAAAAAAAAAGTCAAAATTACAAAACTATTTGTTGTGTATATGATAATTTTTAAAAAGCCTCAAAAAAATTGCCTCAGGATCAAAATGGAAAAGAGTCAGAAAAAAAGAGCTGCAAAATCTTAGTCAACTCCCCAGAATAATTTTCAAGTGTGAAAAATGAACTTTGTGAGATCTGGGGAGACGTTGATCATAAATATCATCACACATACAGACATATTTGCATATCAAAAACATTACAGCTGTAAAGGAAAGTTCAAGAGCATTCAGAATTATCGACGGATTTCAATATATAATTTCTTTCCAGTCATATAAGTACGAAGGAAAGTCAGTTTACAGGTTTATGCAAACGTTTTAGTGTCAAGAATAAAACCTACTCACCAATCTTGTCTGTTTTTCTAGTGCCAATAATTTATCCACAGCATCATTGAGTTTTCCATCCTGAAATACAGAATAGTAGTCAAAATAAATATCTATCTCTAAAGTAAAAAGGCAAAAATCACTAAACTCCATTTTTTAAATAATACGGCCGAAACCAGATAATACAACATGCGACTACTGAAAGATCTGTGCCAAGGGGTCTGAAAAGAATCAGGAAACACAAAAACACTAATGGTTTGATATCGGTACCGCAATCGTCTTACCTGCTGCTAATTAATAAACAAAAGATGATTGGCACGAAATACAGTGGTTGTGAACATGGCTCGTAAATTATAATAAAGTAGACCTGGATAATTAAATAGCAACACAGGTCTCTATTACAAAACGAAAAAATCCTAAATTCTGCTACAATGCAATTAACAGTTCTTACCGCTGCAATTTGCTGGCATTCTGGAATTACCCTGTCCACCGTTGTTGAGTAATCAACTTCCATTTTCTCTAGTTTACCTTCGGACGCCATTATTTATTCCCAAAATCGCGTTGTACAAGAGAAAATATTAATGGTATTCAAGCGCAGAACAGCAGACTACAACAACACGCTCAACTCAGATTATGTCAAGTAATGTTATCAGTATTACTAAGCAGAAATGTCGCCACCTAGTAAAACCCTCAACAAATTGCAGAGGGTGATATCGGGTTAAATTCATTTATATCAACGTAAATATATAAAGAAACCTGCCTAAAATGACAAACTATATTTTAAATAAATATATTTGTTAATTTTTGAGCTATTCTTTGCCTCTCGCAGGATTAATTTTCATGAATAATTTGACGGAGACGCTCTGAATATTGTAAAATTCATTTTTAAATATAAGTATAAAAAAGTGTTAAAACGACATCTCCTGCCGATTTCATTTTAAAACTAATCAAAGCAAGCAAAGTTTTGTGTTATAACCTACGATGCACGATCCCGTTGCAACATTTACAAAAAAGGAACAATCATGCGACCGGATACGACTCCTTGCACAATGGTCACTTGCGCCCACTCGCGGAGATAAATTTGGTACATTCAAATGTTTATCCACGTTGGAGAGTAGGGTGTCCACTTCATAATTTCGAAGTGTTACATCACACAGTCAGGCGGTAGTATTTGTTGGACACAAGTGGACCCATGCATCGTTTTATTTTTATGTTGTTGTTGTTTTTCTCGGTATTTTTCTTCCTATCGTTATGAAAAAATGACTGAGCATAACTCTATCAGTATATTGTTAGTTTATACCGGTACAGCTATAGAAAGCAAATTATTGCTGGAGGCTGGAGCTGTGCCATTGGTTTAATGAAATGTCTTTTTTTACTAGGATAGTGCATTACAACTTATAGTAATTAATTTCAGCACGATTCAGTAAATATGACTGAGAAAGAAGTTGATCTGGCAACTGAGTTATTGCAATACTTGGATTTGAATGAACGTGTCAACTCAATTTCGTACGCAAAAACAAAAAATTTAGAACATCAAAAAATTGTCGGTTTAATAAAAAGCTTACAAGTTCATGAAGGCGTGATAGACGCCTCACAGAAAACAGACAAAAATTGGGTTCTCTCAACCGAGGGTAAAAAGCTCGAATCAAGTGGAAGTTATGAGTTTAATATTTTCAAAAGAGTTCCAGCAGATGGTATTGCGCAATCTGAACTGGTGAAAGATAAAAATGATAAAATTGGCTTCAGCAAGGCGATGTCTAATAGATGGATCAAAGTGGACAAATCGGGTGGCGCACCGAAGATTTTTGTCGCTGATGGTGTAAACCCAACTGATATTGTTAGAGATAATCTATCAAGAATAAAACAAGGATCTCCCATTCCTGACAAAGACAGGGCGGAGTTGAAAAAACGTAAATTAGTGGAGGAAGTTACTATAAAGAGTTTTGATGTTACGAAAGGTGTAAAGTTCACAACGAAAATTGAGAAGGCAGCAACGGATCTCACTGCTCAAATGATACAAGATGGCTCATGGAAAACAACAACTTTTAAAGATTACAACTACTCTGCGATGGGTATCAAACCTCCAGCAGGACACTTGCATCCCCTTTTGAAAGTACGATCTGTTTATCGACAAATATTTCTTGAGATGGGATTCACAGAAATGCCAACGAATAATTACGTAGAAAGCTCTTTCTGGAATTTTGACGCCTTGTTTCAACCTCAGCAACATCCAGCTAGAGACGCTCATGACACTTTTTTCATTTCCGACCCTGCGGAGTGTGACACTTTTCCAGCTGACTATGCAGAAAAAGTTAAAAGAGTTCACTCAGAAGGTGGTTTCGGTTCGCAAGGGTATTGTTACGACTGGAAGTACTCGGAAGCGAAGAAAAATTTACTTCGTACTCACACTACAGCTGTGAGCGCCAGGATGCTGTATAAACTTGCTAAAGAAGGATTTAAACCCAGTAAATACTTCTCAATAGATAGAGTGTTTCGAAACGAATCTTTGGATGCAACTCATCTCGCCGAGTTCCACCAAGTGGAAGGTGTAGTTGCAGATTACAGCGTAACTCTTGGAGATCTTATGGGAGTGTTACAAGCGTTCTTTCATAAACTTGGTATTACAAAATTACGTTTCAAGCCAGCTTACAACCCATACACTGAACCATCAATGGAAATATTCAGCTACCACGAAGGACTCAAAAAATGGGTAGAAGTTGGAAATTCCGGAATTTTCCGCCCCGAAATGTTATTACCAATGGGCCTTCCGGAAGATGTTAATGTTATCGCATGGGGTTTGTCATTAGAACGTCCGACAATGATAAAATATGGTATAGATAATATCAGGGATTTGGTTGGCCATAAAATCAATTTACAAATGGTACAAGATAACCCTGTCTGTAGAATGGACTTTTGATAAGTAAACAGCTTTGTGCAATTAACTATATCACTAGACTGAACGAATATAGGAACCTTGTTTGATAAAAGATCGTTGGAGCCTGGGATTCAGATTGCTGCTTTGCCACCATTCTACAACTTTATTAGGTGTTGCTTTTCAGGAATAGCACCTGACCTTTTAAATTTTCTTCTACAATGTTGTATTTCTGTTTCCATATGTAATTGTCTCTGTTTGAAAATCATATGCCAATGTTAAAGTTTTCGAATGCTATTTAAATAGTCAACGGCTTTCATATGAATATTATTCGTCTAGGTATTACGGCAGACCAAGTAAATATATAAGCTTAATTTTGGCTTACCAATTTGTCTGATGTAAACAATTATTTGAAATGCAACAAAATTCACCACTCAATAAGCAAATAGCAGACATACGGATTTTGTGTAGATCTGATTTTGTGTATTCTATATATAAACATCTTTCAACCAAGCAAAATAAAAACAATTCCCAATTTTTCAAATAGTAATATTTCAAATCCTGAACCTCTTTGCAGCAGACAATAAAGTTATACAAATGATCATATTATGTGTATTTAAACCTGCTGCAATCATTTATTTATGAAAAAGTTTGAAACTTTGTAGAAGTCTTACTCATTGTTGTGGTGAACTAAAATAAATGTTATCAAATCTAGAACTTTGTTTTATCTTGAAGCTACATACAGTTATTTGGTCAGGATGAACCAATGCTTTGGCGTTATTGAATAGAAGTATTAAAAAGCTGTTCACTGTACCACTGATTTCCCTAATGCCCCCCTAATTTTGAGATGGTCTTCTTAAAACTTACATATTCAAAGTGGCGTATATATGCCGGTTCAAATGCTCCAGTCAAATACATAACACATTTTTATAAATTACAAATAGTTTTATCACCAACAAAATATACAACAACCCCTCAATGTGGAAATATCCCCTAAAACTTAAAAGCATGCCGATTGTTGACCTTAACTAACCATTGGGTTCTATACATTGTTTAACAGGGGTCATGATATTATCCCAGCTATGTACAGAAACATAATTTTTCCAGTGTGAAAAATGGTCGCTCAATGTCCAACTAATTGGAATATTATTTCTATGGTAGCAAAGTGTCACACATTGTCACCGCAGCTTGCAACATGGTTCTATCAGTAATGAGAATGTCACTTGCACAAGCCAAACGCCATCGTACCCTATGTTTTAAAATTTTAAATCATTGAAAACAGTAAATCTCTACTTTCAGATCTCTGTATCAGTATCAACAATTGAGGTTTTGTCCAATTATGAAACCCCAGTCAATTCAATATTAAGCACCCTGCTATGAATCAAATCATGTACACATTGTCACTCTGTAAAAACGCGGCCCATTTTCTGGCCCTACTGTATTATAGGTTGCATACCCCTGGCTTAGATGGCTATGGAAAGAAATTAACGACCATGCATGATTGATCATTTATTAAAACAACATAGGGAAACCAAATTCAAGTTTTACTTTCCCACGAAGTCAAGCAGGTAACCCTTGCTTTTGTGTCAATATCTAACACGCAAGGAGGGGATTTCAGGACACTCGTGCTTTCATCCGTTAACTTTTGTTCGTCCACAGACCAGATTTTGACATGGCCATCACTGGACGCTGATGCTAGCCATATTAGGGAATTATCAGTGTCGCTGTCAATCAAAAATTTTGGCGGAGTGATTCTGTGAAGATCTTTCACTCTTGACGTATGTGCTTCTATTTTTGTGACACTCTCTCCATTTTTTGTTTGATAAATGTGAATTTCGTTTCCTTCCCCTGTTACAGCTATGAGTTTATTGGAAATGAATTCTGCAGCTAAAATGGCTTTTTTCCATTCAATTTCGGCAATACAATTTGCGGATTCTAATTCATAAATTTGGAGACAATTTTTGGACGTGATCAGATAATGTTCACCCCCTGGGCTAAATTTTACAATTTCTGGTGAAAATTTTTTCATATTTTTAACATAAACTGGCCTCCCTGATATCATGTTCCAAGTGCGTAATGTGCCATCTTTAGGGGACGCAGAAAGGGCCAATTTACCAGATGGGTGCACTGCAAATGATGTGACTGGCCCTTTGTGCCCTCGAAGACATTTCGCTTTGTCCCATTTCGCCGATACTCTCCACACATTTATTGTTCCATCATCACTCGTACTCATTAGAAATTTCTTATCTGGGAATGTAAGATAGTTGACGGTTCCTTCGTGGCCCTGAAATTTAGAAAAAGAGGTGTTTACATTTATTCAAATTCAGTTTAACATTTCGAGATATAATTTATCATACATTAAATAAATTATATCTGTCCATACAATGCACTTCAAACAAGAAGAAGAAGACATGTTAACAGATTAAATCAGCACTGGTATACAAAAGAATTCTATTACTACTCGCTCATAGTTCACTTCATATGCAAGGATTTTATTATATAAATATAGGTTTTCACGGAGGAATTTTGAAGAGAAAACAAGGTTGCTTAATGATACATCTGACAATTGCCTTCGCCTTTAATTCGATATGGGATAAGCTAACAGATTCGGATATTTATTTTCATCGTGCAACAAACCTCATATATATGAACAAAAGTTAAATAAATTCATCAAAAAAAATGTACAATGGGCCGCGAAAAGACTATCAAAGTCAGTGATACAAAGTGAAACATTTTGGTATATCGACGTACGGTTTTATTATGGTAAGAGTAGTAATGTAACTCCTACCCAAATGCATCATCATCAAATACTCGACCCTTACACACACTAAGCCACTGCATATGAGATAAATATCAAACTCATAGATCCAGCTCAAACTAATCACCTGTATGGATCCAACTTCTTTATCATCCGTCATATCAAACAAAAATATTGCTTCGTCCGAAGATCCAGAAGCCAAATATGAAGACCCACATGCCACAGTCTTGATACAACCACTATGAGAATGATCAGTGAAAAGCAATTCTGATTTCAAAACATCTTTTTCCTTATCTTTGGTAACAGAGTAACCCAAGAGCATTTGCTCATAACATCCTACAATAATTTTAAGCATTTTTAATTTACCTGGTCATGGAGCCAGTTTTATACCAAATCTGCAATAACAGGCACAGAGAGAAAAGAAATTTAAATTACAGTATAAGTGGTGAGCTGCAAATTTGAAAAAAAAAAGATAGAACAAAAAAAGCAGTGGAACAATGAAAAAGAAAGTGATTATCATTATATAGAACAGCACTCGTAAATTAGCATTTGAAATTCTGTCTGCATTAATAAATAGAATTACAAAAACATGAATGAAAAAGGTAGCAAGATGAATCCAGGATGATTTGAAATTGAGCTAGTTATTTGTTTACAGTTTCCCTTAGATGAACTTGTGTAAAATGGAGAATAAAATGAAACATCGAAAGAAATTCAATGATTATTTTCATTACTTGAGCCTTGCATTACAGCAATACTGGAAAAACAGCAAATCTGTGGAAATTTAAAAAAAAAACTTGAGTTGAAATATTAATACCATTCAATACATTTAAGTAAGATTATCCCAAATTTAATTCAACTTTGATGAAGAACCCAATCGGAAGTGATTTTCATATATAGAATAGCACTCTTAAATTAACATTTGAACTTCTATCTGCATTAATAAATAGAATTACAAAAACATGAAAAAAAATGTAGCAAGACTCAACCAGACTGATTGGAAATTGCGCTACAGTTTATTGCCTACAGCAGTGGTTATCAAACCACGGGGTGCCTGCCACGTGGGGGAGGGGGGGGTCTAGACAATTTTTTGATGGGTGTCGAGCTAATTAAAAATGAAAATATTTGTTAGATTTTACCCGCCTCATTCAGGATATTCACATTCCTTTATTTTGGATATTTCTATCCATTCACATATTTTCAATGTGTTTTTTGTATAAAACATACTTTCGCTTTACTATCTGTTATTTGTAGCATATTGTTAGCTAGTTATTTTTGAGGTAGGGCGCAAGACTTGACACATTCTAAAAAGGGGCCACCATTTCAGAACCATTGCCTACAGTTTCACATGGATGAACTTTGTGTGGAATAAAATATTAGTGAAAGAAACTAAAATGATTAATTATCTATTACATAGAAAGCAAAACTCGAAGCTGTATAGAATAGCAACACAGAAAAATAATTAGTCTGTGGAAATTTTTATGCTAAACTTGGCTTCAAGAGTGTTATTGATTACCTTAGCAAAACCACATCGTCACGAAACATGGAAAACAATTTTGAATGTCAGCTTAAATGGCAGTATTTTTTTGCAAAATTTTCAATGCCTTTTTTTTTAAATTTCATCATTTGAACTTTCTTACCTGGAACCCTTGGTACTAAATTGCTTATAACCCTGGCACAAAAAATCTAAGTTGGTCTATACTTGATGTAAAAAAAGCGTAAGCTGGGCATTATTAACAATATAATAACAAAATAATATGCTGCTAGAGTAAAGAAGCTCCAGGTACGAAAAGAAAACTAACATGATTAATTATCCATTATTATAGAAAGCAAAACTCGACGCTGTGTAGAACAGCAACACAGAAAAATAATTAGTCTGTGGAAATTTTTATGCTAAACTTGGCTTTAAAAGAGTTATTGATTATCTTAGCAAAACCACTTCGTCACAATGTGGCCAATTCTCATGCAAATTGCAACTTGGGAAAGAATTCGTATCTATTAATACTACTTGGCCAAAATTCAAAACATGGACAACAATTTTGAATGTCAGCTTAAATGGCAGTATTTTTTGCAAAATTTTCAAATGCCTTTTTTTTAAATTTCATCATTTGAACTTTCTTACCTGGAACCCTTGGTACTTAAAATGCTTATAATTCTATAGCCTGGTGCAAAAGATCAAAGTTGGTCTATTCTTACAAGCGTGAGCTGGGCATTATTAACAATATAATAACAAAATAATATGCTGCCAGAGTAAAGAAGCTCCAGGTACGAAAATGAAAAAATAATGGTACCGAAATAAAGCAGTAAACAGAAAAAGCTGGCATAAACTTTTCAAAAAAAAACATAAATGGAAGTAGTGAATACTCTTGGATAACAAAACATTTAAGCAATAGGTATGTATGGGTAAACTATCATGAGCTGTTTTTCAATTATCCATACAATATAAATCAGTGATTCAGGGTTGGCTAACAGAGGTTAACAATCTAACAGGAACTGAATTACCGCATTTAATTATCAACTTAATTATTAACTTAATTACTAACTGTCCCCTATTGGCCAACACCATGTTTGCCAAATCATGATAAACCACGGCGTGAAAAATTCCAGTATTCCATTTCCTCCTTCATAATTTAACTACAGTGATTTTAAACCAAATTAACAGGGTAGAATAGTATAAAGGTTTTCCATTCCTGAGCATTACGAAAGAAATCAGAAAAAAGCACACAGAAAACAAAATAAGTGAAAGTGCTGTATGGTGTACGCTTGCGAATCTTCATCCTTTGTGTATTTGGTTTATCACTGCGTGAGTGAAATCTGTGGTTGTGGCATATCCACCAAGATCAGCGGTTCGCGCTTTTCCTTTGTTGACAACATCTGCGACAGCGTTGGAAACTTGTTTTGCATAGTTTCCGAGATGTAAGTGCTCAAGTAGATTTGCAGATGACAAAAGCATTGCAGTTGGGTTAGCAATATTACGACCAACAGCTTGGGCAAAAGGATGTCTTGCACCTGTTTCAAAAACTGCACATTTTTGACTGTAACTTTCACCTGGGACAACCCCTGCCCCGCCCACCAAACCAGCAGCCAAATTATCAATAATATTACCATAAAGGTTAGGCATAACCATAACATCAAATTGATTAGGATTTGACACAAGCTGCATACATGTATTATCAACAATCATCGCTTCAAAGGTAATTTTGGGATATAATTTAGAGACTTCTCGACAGGATTCCAGAAACATTCCATCACCTAATTTCATAATATTTGCTTTATGTACTGCGGTTACCTTTTTCCGGTCATGTTTTGTTGCGTAATCGAAAGCAAATCTTGCAATACGTTTTGATTTTTCTCGTGTAATTATTTTCATCGATTCAATAACTCCTGGGACACTTTCATGTTCAAGAGCGCTGTACTCTCCCTCGGTTTGCTCACGAATAATCACTAGATCCATATTGTTATGCCGGGTCTTGTAACCTTCGAAACTCTTCGCTCGAACCACATTTGCATACAAATCAAGACGCTGGCGAAGAATGAATTTCGTTGACGCCAGTTCTCCACCCATGGCACTCAATCTAGAAGAAATATCGCCTAATAAAGCGACTCCATTTCTCAAAACAGATTCTGTAACCTGCTGTATTGTATCTTCAGAAGCTCGGTCCATAATTTCACTCACCCAAAACTCCTCAAATTCTACCGGAATTGCAGCTGCTTTAAAAACTTCCTTTACTGCGATCATTAATTCTGGTCCAATACCGTCCCCAGGTACCATAGTAACTTTGACTTTTCCCTCATGATGGCGCTGAAGATTATTGCTTCCATGAATGCAACGGGTTATGCTCGGAGTTGCACAAAATCGCTGGGTATGTCTTGCAAGATTTCCAAGTGATGCTGCCATGATTTCCAAATTAAATAAGATATAAATCAAATTATGATACTGTAAATATAAATTTCATAATTGGTAAAAAGATTTTATAGACATGAAATTCTAAAATATTAAAGCGGCCTTGCATATTTCAAGAACGAAACATGTTATAATAAGGCGTCCACACATTCGCTACGAACAAGGCAATATACAGACAGTCACTGATGTTTCAATATGTCAAAAGCTACTTTTTTTATAGGTGCTGGAATCTATATGGTTCAGCGTTGCCTACGATTTTATTACACCCTGTGTGACGTGAAAAAGGCAGTAGGCTATTAGATTTTCTTTGATATATGTCTATAGTTAGACCTGGAAGACGGGCATAACTTAATGAAAAAGTTGAAAACGTACAAGTACGTGCCCGTCTACCAAAAACAGTCAAAAGAACACAATAAAATAAAGACACGATGTAAAATCAGGCAATACGTTTTGAATCAATTTTAAGATATAGGTATTAGCCAGTTTTTTCCAGATGCAAGGACTTGATTGGTGCACTTATTTTACATTGAGTGATCTTGCTCCGTCGAGCATTAAACATTGCCCAGTGGTCCAAGCTGACGAATCAGATGCCAAAAACAACACAGCACTGGCTACTTCATCCACTGTTCCATTTCTACCAATAGGATGAAGTGAGGAAATCTTTTCAAAAGTTGCGTCATCGGGAATCCCACCAGGTACAGTTCGAAGGAGAGCTGTTGGTACTATAGACGGATTCACAGAATTGACTCGAACACCTTTAGGAGCGTACTCAAGAGCAATCGTTTTCGTGAATTGGTCCAAAGCAGATTTTGTCAACCCATAAAACAAGGCTTGAGGAAACTGCATTGTACTGCTAACGCTAGAGATATTTACGATGTTTCCTTTAGATATTACTAAATGAGGAATTAATAATTGTGTCAAATAGACGACGGCTTTAACATTGATGTTTAATTGCCAATCCAGATCTTCTAACTTGGAATTTTCCAGATTTCCAAATTGTATAACACCGGCATTGTTGACTAAAACGTCAAGTTTCCCATATTTTTCGATAGTTTTTTCCGCAACGTTTTTAATTTCTTCTAATTTTCCTAAATCTGCCAATGTCATCAAAACATCTTTTGCTGCTTTATTTTTACATTCCGTCGCAACTTTTTCCAAATTCACCTTATTTCTTCCTGTCAATGCCAACAATGCACCACGCTCTGCAAATTGAAGAGCGATAGCTTTTCCAAATCCACTAGAAGCACCAGTTACCAAAACTACTTTATTTTGAAAACTATCAGACATTATTCCTTAATGCTAAAATTTACAATTTTACACTAAACTCTAGAAGTAAGATATAATCATAAAATATTGCACAATTATTGAATATAATACTGACGCATCATACTAGTATTACAACTAAAATACAGAACCAATAGATTTTTGAACCCCAAAGTTTTAGTAATCTGGAATGCTTTGCAAAAAAGTTATGGTTTCCCTGTAAAATGATTCAAATGATTTATGTTCTGTTTTTGTTGAGTCAAGTTCGTAACCTAAAAAATACCAAACAGAAGGAGTCAAAAGACAATGACAAAAATAAAAATATTTGAACGAAAAAAAATTCATGATTTCAAGTACTGGTAGGTTTTCTTGCAAAACAATTGATAAATTTACTCGAAAACTCAAGACTATCGTTGGAGGGTGGTTAAATTCAAGCAAGGTGTAATTTAAATTTGTCAAGACAATCCATGAATGGTTCAGGAAAACAGTGCCGATAAAACAAAGACTTAACCTTATTCAAAAAGACAATCTGTTGTTCAGTTACATTCTAACCGGAGTCTGGTATGTTTGTATTGATACTGAGGTCAGAATCGGATTTGTATTTTCCAACTTTCCAGAGTCATGAGTCGAAATTTTGAATTATCGCGAGTCAAAAGTAGGAGTTATAATTTCAGATTTTTTATTACCAGAATCCCAAAAATCAAAGTCACAATTGCCAATCGCAAGTGCAGGATTATTAAGTTAACAGAGTATTTTTAACAAATAGTCAAAAAAGCTTCGCATCCGAGTCGACCTTTAAATGACCAGAAATATGTTTAAAAATTTTTCGACACCCTGCCATGATTTCAAGTAGGGTAGGAGAATAGTTTATCATTCATTGTCCCCAATGCATGGACTTAAACATTTCTTGTTGAATAATATTGCATGGCAAAAGTGAAAAAAGTAGAAGAAAATACAAAATTGCTCGTATAAAAGCAGTAAAAAAACGTAATCGTCTTGGCTGTGGAATTATGGTAAGTGCATTTACTACTATGAATATTTATTGCAAGTTGAGATAGGTATAAAAACTTGATCATACATTACAAAAGAAAATCAAAATTAATATAATGCGGTTAAAATCATGAGAAAGTCACATTTAAAAGTAACAGTTACACAAAATGAAACTTAGGATGGGAATTATATATTATTTCAGAGGGAAAAGAAAGTCGATAAGACGGCTCAATCATATGGCGAACCATGGCTTCTCATCCGGTCACCAGTCAATGTCGGGCGTGGGATTAGTTGGCAAGGTATTTGTTTCAAATGCATGGACTTGATTGGTGCACTTATTTTACATTGAGTGATCTTGCTCCGTCGAGCATTAAACATTGCCCAGTGGTCCAAGCTGACGAATCAGATGCCAAAAACAACACAGCACTTGCTACTTCATCCACTGTTCCATTTCTACCAATAGGATGGACCGAGGAAACCTTTTCATAAGTTGCGTCATCGGGAATTCCGCCAGGTACAGTTCGAAGGAGAGCTGTTGGGACTACAGAAGGATTCACAGAATTGACTCGAACACCTTTAGGAGCGTACTCAAGAGCAATCGTTTTCGTGAATTGGTCCAAAGCAGATTTTGTCAACCCATAAAACAAGGCTTGAGGAAACTGCATTGTACTGCTAACGCTAGAGATATTTACGATGTTTCCTTTAGATATTACTAAATGAGGAATTAATAATTGTGTCAAATAAACGACGGCTTTAACATTGATGTTTAATTGCCAATCCAGATCTTCTAATTTGGAATTTTCCAGATTTCCAAATTGTACAACACCGGCATTGTTGACTAAAACGTCAAGTTTTCCATATTTTTCGATAGTTTTTTCCGCAACATTTTTAATTTCTTCTAATTTTCCAAAATCTGCCAATATCATCAAAACATCTTTCGCTCCTTTATTTTTACATTCTGTCGCAACTTTTTCCAAATTCACCTTATTCCTCCCTGTCAATGCCAACAATGCACCATGCTCTGCAAATTGAAGAGCGATAGCTTTTCCGAATCCACTCGAAGCACCAGTTACCAAAACTACTTTATTTTGAAAAAATTTTGACATCTTGTGAGGTCTGTTTAATCCAGTTTATACCTGAATCTGCAAAATGGATAGGATAGGATTTACATATGTATTCAGGGGAAGTGAAAAGCAGACAAGACGGCTTTATCATATGGAGACCACGAACTCTCGTCCAGTTACCAGTTCATTACCAGGGTTACTTGTTTAAGATGCATGGACTTGACGGTGGAGGAAACCGTAACCGATCAGAGGTTACACGAACTATCCTGCGTCGGCGAGGAGGTCAGCAATCCTCTCGCACACACCTATCAGGCTATCCCTGCATGGGATTCGAACCTGCGAAACCGCGTAGGGTAATTAGACAAGCGGTGGCGAGCATATTTCTAACTCTTAGCACCATGCGCCACACCATAAAGATGTGAAAGGGCAAATTTTTTTAACGTCTGGTTTGATCAATTTGTGTGGGGACCATCAATTATTAACTTTCATGGTACATAGTATATATTGATATGATGCGCAGCTAGGTAACATATTACACTAGGTACTAATGTACTATGTCTAGCTAGTACCGGTAAGTACGCAAAGTACGGTTTACAAAAAGTTATGGTGCTGCGTTTATTTCACATCACATTTTTGTTTGGGTTATTTGAGTAGTTACAATGAGGCTAATATAAATGCTGCAATATGGCCATTGGTATGCAGGCATGAATGAATTTTAGGAAACGCATTTGAGTGGCTTCAAAATTGCCTTTGAACTCATCTGTAAAATAGGGCAGGATTTACCTATTCATCCCCGGGGACAGGAAAGCCGATAAGACGCCTTATCCATATGGCAAACCACGGCCCCTCGTCCGGTTATCATTCTATGTCGGGTACCGGTACCCTATGGTATTAGTTAGTTTTTTTTTTTTTTTTAGAAGCCTGGACTTGATGTTGGAGGAAGCCGTAACCGACCACAGGTAATCAGAGGTACGGCGTATTACCAAAGTTAGCCCAGGCCACACTCGCTCAGCCCACACTCAGCCTGACATCAAGGGGTTAACCAACTATTTTACCACTTTATAAACGTTAATTCATAAAATCTTGGTGGCTATGACAATATAGAGACCATATGTGATATACACACCGCAAATGCAATACCAAGCACGGCCCAGTTAACCCTAGTATGGCCCGTCAAAAACGAGTGTGGGCTAGCGTTCTGACAGTGTTATACGGTAAGTTAAGGCATCCTAAGCGCTCACAGATTACTAAATTACATCTATCCACGTTTACCTCAGCACCAGATCCTTTCAGAGTCCGTAAATTGTTAGCACAAAATGGCCACAAATGCCGGGAAAATGAATCAAAATCAACTGAATAATAATATCTCTAACCAGTGTTACCAGATATGACGGTAAACGAGCCTGAAATTGACCGTCGAATCTCAAAAATAAGAAAAATGTAGTTACTGAGTTATGAATAAACCATAATTGATTTGCCGTGCTTGGTATTGCATTTGCGCTGTGTGGGCTGGGGTAACTTTGGTGGCGTATTCCTAACGCTTACTGGCTTAGCATGATGACCCACACCACCAGAAGAAGTAATGGACTCAATCAATTTTATTTGGTCACTCTAATACTGTAATAGCTGGATAGAAACATAACACAAAACAACAACAAACGGACAAACAAAATACAGAGGACGGACATAACTTAATAAAAAAGTTAAAAACGTACCGTACCGGTACAAGTACATGCCCATCCACCGAAAACAGGCAAAACACGATATAAAATCAGGCAATACTTTTAAATTTAATTCAAAATGTGAGACGCGTACGGTACCCTGGTACCGGTATGTGTAACACAACAGTGCTTTTCCTACAAAACTAACCTAGTCACTTTTCAGCGTCCTGAAATTAGCTCATAGATCACTTTTTTTCCAAATTTAAATTCATTACGGTATTCTACTCCTCACTACATATAGATTATAGACTGTGTGTACTCCTTGACGAGTTGCAGGCGTGAGTCGTGTGAGCAGGCGTGAGCGATGTGACACACGAGCTCACACTGTTCGATCACATGTGTGGGATTACAGTAGGCTACGGCAACTTTACGACCGGTACGAATTTTAGCGTGAATTGTGATGTATTTTGGGGAAATGAACGTATTAGTATTTATTTACGACTGTACCGGTAAATGGCGAACCACGTCCTTTTAATGGTAGAAAGTGGGAATATCTGACTAATCAGTTTATTGCTGGGAAGCGTACACGGCAATATACCACTTTGTGATAAAGATGAGTCCTGACCAATACCGTTACATTGTCGGCATGAGGATTCGCACAAGTGTGGTGTATTGGCAAGCATATTTCCACTCTACTTAGAAATATATGAATTACTTACTTTTCAGACAAGTCATACTACACTACAGTTTTGTGCTCAGTACCATAAATGGCACTTATGAATGTTGAATTTATCGACGCAACACTGCGATTTAGGTCTTTTGATGGCCTATTGAGATGTCGTGGATTGAAATGAACCTTTCAGCGAAGCACAAACACAACAAAGTAAGCCCAACATTATGTATAAACATACCAGTTATGTAAGCATCACAAACTGCGTTGAAAAATCTGTTCAACTTCTTGTGTAGTCGTTTTTATTTGAAAAAATATTCGCGTGAATTACATCAGTTACCAATTTGAACAAGCCGACATGCTTACATGTCTTCTATTTTAGAACGCCTCGGTCATCAAAAAATTCTGGGACAACCATAGCCCATCCCGGGACACCAGACATCAATCGCGGTCATTCCGGGACGGTCGGTAGCCTGGCGCTCCCGAAGTATATGTATCAAGAATGCGCACAGCCTGAACACTAACCCGGTAGACTTACCATGTTCAGGATGTGCGCTATCTTGGTGCATATACTTCTGGAGCTCCGGTAGCCCTACCTCCTCCGCCCCTCATATCAAAACTTTGAAAAGCTATTCTTTTTATTCAAACTGGTTCGATATTTATTTCTACAAAAATATAAATTTTACAAACATGCAACATGATGAAAAATAAATTATCGTGATTCATTCAACAGAACAGTCACGTTCGCTTCATTTACAAAGACCAGTGATGTCAAACATGATAAAACCAAAGTTTGCTTCAAATCCACAAATATTTTTTATTTTGCGCCATCTACTCAGCGCTAATACATTCACTGCAAGTAACTGAAATTTATTATTTCCCGCTCTTTCCTGCAATACCACGTAGATCAGACAAAACCATTCCTTTATACTTGGATTCCAACATTTGCATATAATCCATGTACGAAGCTACATTGTAGCCATGAAATGGGTTTTCCTGAGAAAAAATATTTGTTGAAGTAATACAGTAAAATATTTCACCTGTGGACAGAAAAAATGACAGGACGGCTGGATTACAAATTTGGTTAGGTATATGAATTGCAAGTCAATGAATCACAATACTTTTTTAGCAGAAGTTATCTATATTTGTTACCTATCACCAAAGAGTCAATTTGAGTGGGGATGCTGAATGACAGCTTTGTGAAGCATGTATTAATCATAAAACGAGAATATCGGTCAGAGACCGAAGACTTATGATCGAAAGTTAGGGGATCCCCCAAAACAGCACTCTTACTCCATAGTGACACCTTGTGTCCCATCACTTATTAATTGATAACTCGCTAATTATACGACATAATTCATCCAAAATCAATAGGCTTCTGGTCCGACATATGATGAATGCACACGCAAAATCTGGAGCAGACTCAATCTCGCTTTCGTGAGATATCGCGTGCATCTAACAGACAGACAAATACCTATCAACATAGTTACCGATTAAAATCGACAAGTAATAAAAACATCTACCTTCAAAAATACTTGTAAATCTTGCGTTAATCTGTGCTCAAGAATTTGTTCCTGCAAATGTTTGAAAATGCTGATGCAGATGTAAACCTGGAAAGATGAGATGTAACATGAATTATGGTTGGTAAGAGCAGCATGTTCCTAACGACTTTTCCACTAAACCAGGGGTTCTCATACTTTTAGTGTTATGGGAAGAGTTTGACTATTATTTTTGAAGCCCCATAGAGGAGGCGCTTGACAAACATATTTTAATAAAGTAGTGTCGAATCGTTGCAACAATGCAGTAACTCAAATATGGCATTATCTATTGAAACTTCTAGATATTGATAATGTCTTTATTGCTTATATCGTTATTAGGACAGTTATACAATTAGCCAAGTCAGTATTTTAATAAGTAAACGAATAACTTGCAGAGCCCTTAGATTTCTCTAATGGAGCCCTGGGGATCTGTATGAAGCACTTCGAAAATCTATGCACTAATGCAGTAAAACAAAAAATATTTTGAAAATTATGACATAAGATTTTCCTATGCATCTCATGGTAGAAGGAAAGACGATCTAATCAAAATGTTGGACCACAGCATCCTTCCCAATTACCAATTCAGTTTGGGTAGCAGTAAATCATTCAATATGTATCTCATGAAAAAGAACCATTGGTCTACAGCAGAAGTGGGCAATACAGGTGGGCCAGATACAACTAACGGAGTGAAAACCATGGGCAGCACCTTTATCTAACATAGGCTTTCTAGTAGTTTCTTTCTAGCAGGCACAAAAACTTTGGTTATTGATCTTATGATACGATTTGTTCGCTTCGCACAAGCTCAGTTATACGCTTAGCAATGCAAAGGAATTGAAATTACTCGCACACACTAGATTAAACTAAATTCAAAACCTGTTTCGCGAGCCACACGCCATTCAAAATCGGCCACACGATTTCTTCTTGTGGGCCGCGTTACACACCCCTGGTGTAAACAGGTATAAAGTTGATTTAATATTGATCCAAGAAGCAAGTTTATTTTTTTATTACCTGATAATCAGTTCCCAATATAATAACAACAGCAATGTAATGATTAATCTGATTCCAATCCATGTAATTCCAGAAACATTGCTGTAACCAGTGCTGACATATTTGTGACGGAGTGTAACCGCACATTCGAAATGTGGAGTGGACAAGTGGAAGTTCATTCTGAATTAGAACGAAAGAATTAATAAAGAAAATTGTTCTGGTTCTGCCATTATGATTTTACTCATGATAAACTTAGAATTGCAAGATAGGATTTACATAATAAGGGAGAGGAAAGCCACTAAGATGGCAAACCACAGCCTCACGTCCAGTTATTAGTTTGCCAGGTATTTGTTACAGACGCATGGACGTGATGGTGGAAGAAGCCGTAACCGACCAGCGGTTATGTGAACCACCCTACGACGACGAGAAGTCCAGCAATACTTTCGCTCACCGCTAAGCTTTGCACAATAGCTTTCTGTGTGTAGAAACAGCTTGACGGAAGGATCACAGATTGAAAAAGTTACGCATCCCAAGAGTCGAACTAGTAATCTCATTAAGTGCTAGGGTACAAGAAAACAAAAGTATATATTTATATAGCGTAGATTCCAAACTCTAAAATTTCAATTTTGCTTAAATTACATATTTGTACTTTGAGTGTCGCTGCTCGATAATCAGCTTTGGTTCCCTGCGACTTCCCTTCCCCAGTGAAACTTTCTAATTATCATTTTATCATAACTTGTATTTAATTGTTGTTGATTTTACTGATTGGAAAAAATAAACTTGACTTAACTAGATCTGTTACCTGTAAAATTAATTCCACATGATGTCCTGTGTGTGAAAATAAAGGATGAATCCCACTTGATCGCATCTCTTTTGGCAAGTGAAGCTGGAATATAAAAATGAAATTTTTAATGGCTGGTGCATCATGATAAGTGTTAAAAACACACTTGTGATTGTACTCCAACTACACTGCATGGTTTCAAAAGGTTTAAATCACATGGAGAAAAGTTATGCGCAAGAAGATTGCTGGACACCTTGCCACAGCAGGGTAATTGAATACGGCTACCTTCTCCAACCTTTAACCTAACACTGCTTGAATCTACTATAATGAGAATGATATATTGATTAGCTTTTCCCAAAGCAACAAACGCACATAAAATAAGAGGCTTTTACTGCTAAAATTCATTATGCACGGAAGTAACTAATACAACCTAAACAGTACAGCCATACAATAGATACAAGTCCATGCATCTGAAAACAAATAACTGGCTGACTAACCCCATACCCATCATGGACTGGTAATTGTACGAGAGGCTGTCGTTCACCATATGATTAGGTCGCCTTATTGACTTTCTTCTTCCCGGGATAAATATTTAAATCATATCCTAAAACACTGACTACGGCATTGAAGACTGATAATTTCCTTCTGCTCTTATTGACATGTATCGTCTTACTTCATTTTGTGCAGGACTATTCAAGCGATTAATGACCATCTTACCATGAGCACAACACTGACAATTCCACAAGTATAAACTTACACTAGCATGTAGTCTTGCTGGCCACAAGAATCCTGAGCAGAGCAGGTCAGAAAATTTTTGCAGAAAATTCCACGTCTTGTCTTTGTTTCCTCCATTCATCAGGAATATGGTGCTGACAAACCAATCAAAACCATGGTATGGTCCTTGCAGAGTTTCTGATTCAAAATTGTAGAATTTGACAAATGTTATGTTATATAGAGCCACAAAAGTGCATATCATACACATGGTATATATTTATATTAATTTCACTTTAGTGATATGCAATTTTTATCACACAGCTATTTTTCATATTTTTGTTCAGCTGAAAAACAATGTACACAATTCTTTATCAAGTCCCACCATCTGAAATGAATAACTGGTAAATTGTTCCCAAACTGAAAGGCCATGTAATATGTCTAGGCTGCCATATTGTCACATTGTCGTCATATTTCTTTCCTCTCCCCAAGATAAATACAGGAATACTATCAAATATATATATGTGCGCAATTTTTGTGTTCAACTTACATAGACAGGCCGAGGTTTGCCATAAGTAAGTCGTCTATTTCTTTCCTCTCCCCCAGGATAATACAATTCCATTCTATTATAATTTATACTCACTAATCTGCACATTATTGTTTTTTCCACCGCCAGACGCTTTCTCTTGTTGATCCTCAAGCATAGTTTGACAATGTCGAAGAACGTAATTCAAATTATTAGTCGTGGCCTCTGTGCTACTCTTCATTAAGTTGAGATGCTTACCATATCTTACCGCCATTTTGATTCCAGCAGTGGACACAGGACTCAGAGAATCTTTCAAAGGTGGATCTAGAATTAAAAACAGTATATTTTATTCGAAAATGTCGTTATTTGTGGGATTTTTATAAGACGTATCTATATGCGTTTTACCCCAGTTAGCATCACCTGCCCAAATTGCTATACTGTATCGGGTACTCCCGAAGTATGTGAAACAAGATGGCAGACACGGGAACGTAGATGTCTACCTGGATAGGGTTAGGCTATAATTTTATTCCATTTTTCCTTATTTCAGTTCTATTACGAGGTCGAGCATTAGCCAAGTGACTCCCATAGTATTTGTACCTAAAATTATGGCCTAACCCTAACCTGTTACACATACTACGTTACGGTATCCACCATCTTGGTTCACATACTTCGAGAGTACCGAGAGAACATTCTCGATTTTTTGCGATTTGCAGAAACAAGATTTTTATTCATGAAATAATAAGCCTGCGGCGGACGGAAAATAAAATTCAACAAAAATATTTTTAAAGTATGCGCACAAGATGGCGACCAAGACCTGAATCCTAACCAATCACTCATCATTCCACTTTAGATAAATGTAGTCAATACCTAGATACCTTTTTCATAGCAAAATGGGATCCAGGAATGTGGAGGCATAGTCTGGATACATAGTTTTGCATGTTTTAATTTATATTGGAGACAGAGTTGTCATCAGAAGGTCAAAATTTTGAGATGGAGTCTGAGCCAAATTTTCCTCATATTAAAATTCTAGTCAAAATTTCTCCAAACTAGAATCGGAAATCAGAGCCGATATTTTTCCAAGCCAAAACCGAGAATCAGAGTTTGGAAAGTCGACTTCGGAGCTCTGGTTTAATCTCATAATCAAGGAAATCAATTACAACAAACCTTTAATAGAAGGATTAGGGAACAATCTTTCCTCTGGCATTCTTTCTTGAGCAACAACTGCTTTGTCTAATAAATCTGCAAGTATGCTGCCTTTCAATACACCTGGACCTGTGAAATAATTTTTCTTAATTTAGATCGTTTCACAATTATCAAATATCAAAATAAATTATTAAAATTTTAAATTGGCTTCTATCTGAGCTAGGGAACAGCTGTAGTAAATAGTTACACTGAACTAATATATATAGATTCCACATTGGCTTGGTTATTAGCACTCAATGATACCTAGGCCTACCATACGTCCCGGTTTAGCTGGGACAGTCCCGATTTTTGGCAAGTTGTTTCCAACCTAAATGTCCCGGTTATGCAATATGACAGTCATAAATATTTTATTTGTTTGATATGAATACAAATTTGTTTTTTTCTCTAACGAAGGCAGCCGAATTGCCACTGATTTGCAACTCATTTCACTAGTTTACATAGAGAGAAAAATTGTTGTCATAGATATGACATGAAGTATGAAACATGCGTTAATTTAACATCCAACTGTATTATTGTTGAATCATCGTGACGCCGAAAACAAAGTGCAAGTTAACAAAAAGGATTTCTATTATTTGAAGCAAAGACCAATAGAGGATTTTTAATAGAATTTACAGCTAATTTTGATGCCTGTGATCTACCTACCATGGTATTATAAGACTCGGAATCGGACCAAGGCTGGCTTGCCCAATCCGCCCTTTCCCGATTTTTTGCTTCAGATATATGGCAAGGCAAGCCTACCAATACCTAACAAGCTTCATTTTCTGAAAGGACAGAAACCTTTTTACCTAGTTTTTTAGGCACTTCTGAAATATATGCACTAAGATGACGCACAACCTGAACATAGATAGTATGTGTACCAGGTTAGGGTTCAGGTTATGCACCATCTTGGTACATAAACTTCGAGAGCACCGTTTTTTACACCTTGGATAGAATTATATTGAGTCACAGAACAAGATATCATTGCTCATTATCTCGTAAATTTTTGAATTTCAGAGTGAAATAATTTTATTTCATAATACAAAAATACAAACCTGATATCATGGTTTTAACAAACATATCCCTGCATTGTTCCAGCCACCCACGATTCTTATCAGATGCTTTTGTTTTTGAGAGAAAACGACTGACAACACTTTCTGAATAGAAAAAGTAAAATATACATTATATTCTTTGTGAATTTGTACTGGGCACTATCTATTTAATTTCCTTCAGTACTGACGACAAATTTTTCAAGGATTCTTTTCGAACTTTTCAAAACCGGAATTATTTGAGAGAATTTGCTCAAATCAAAACCACAAACACGCCAACTCAAAAATAAACAAGAATCATCACAGAAAAAAGGTGGTGAATTCTATGTATACCAGTAAATGAAGATTAAAGCAATAATTAAAGCATTTTATTTTTTAGTGCAATGGTTCTCTAACTTTTTAAGCCGCTTTTTTAGAATCTGTGAAGTCTCGCACCCCACCTAAAAAATAACTAGCTAACAAAGAGCTACAAATAACAGATAGTGAGGCGAAAGTATGTTTTATTCAAAAAACATGTTGAAAATATGTGGATAGAACTTAAACATTCAAAACAAAGAAATGTAAATATCCAAAAGCAAGCAAGATCAAATCTGACAAATATTTTTATTTTCCATTAACTTCACGCCCCCCCCCCAAAAAATATTCTCTACGCAACCCCCCTTGTGGGGCGCACACCAACATTTGAGAACCACTGTTCTAATGCGATGTTTTCAAAAATTTATTTGATTTCCAGCTTGGAATGAATGATTTGAAGAACTGCTAAGATTTTCACACACACCCACCTTTTTTGACAGAAGATTTTCCACTCAATGTTGGTGTATATTCTTTAGGAAGCGGAAATTTATTGAACAAAGGCCACGGATACGCAAGTTGTTTTGATCCTTTGTGAATCATTGGTTCTAACGATCGAGGAGGTATCCGACGTTCCGAGGGTCCTCCGATCGCTTGAGTTCGTACAAGAATATGGTTACGATCAACTGATAGAGCGTCGATAATAATATTTCTGAAGAAAATTGAAGATATGTTATTACAAGAAAAATGAGAATCGCATTTTTTTTTAATTTAAGATAATTAGCACAAAAAAAGATCACAGTATTCAAACGGACGCAGCATGCATGCATGGATGGAAGGTACAGCTCCCTTTTTAAGTGTGCGATGTTTACAATAAAGGCAGTGGAATAATCATTATGAACTATTATCAAGCTAGGCCACTGTTCTTAAATTTGCTTCATAACGTTCTCAATTTTCTACACAAAAATAATCCAGATTATAAATAACAAAAAATTGCAATCAATCTTACCCTTCATAAGTGCAATCATCTTTCTGCATTTGCAGTAACGTTTGTTGGATGTTGTACTGAGTTTCAAGTAATAACCAGGTATCAAGACTACATACCAATACATTCAACAACCTGAGCGAAAATAAACTGTTTTTAAACAGGAAATATCCTGCGGCGAGATTTCTTGCGGCGTTTAGGGGTACGCAAATAAACATGTTTATGATCACAAATTTGACAACCGTCTAAAATTTGATATCACAGCAAATATATCAGCAATTTGGATAGCAGACAAATAAAAATCAACAAAGTTACATATAAATAGATATACACATAGGGAAGGCAATCCTTTCTACATCTCATTACTCTTCAAAGTACAACCTGCACAGGGTAATCAGAGTTGTGACAGAAAGCATATTTTAAAAGCTTACAACCATGCGCCAACTGTCAAAAGTAGATCAGAGGTTCCCGATGCCATATATCAAAATGACAAGCCTTGGTGATGTAAAAGAATAAAATAAGGATAAATCTTAGCATATAAACAGTCTATCATAACAGAATATACTGTTCATATGTTGAGACGTATCCCAGGTATAACAAAATTGTCACGAGTGACTGTGTCTAAAAATATCTATTATTTAGCCTTAGTCAAATTTACCTAATTAAGATAATAAAATAAGAATAAATATTGATCATAACAGAATATGTTAAATACACACAGTCACATTGTGGACAACAACATGTCACAATATAACAACATATTTAGCCCTACTTAAATTTAGTTAAGATTATAGGTTATAGCAGTGGTACCCAACCTTTTGGAGCTCCTGGCCCCTTTCCAGAAGGTTTTAGCACTCATGGCCCCCTGTCTGACATTCCAGTTATGTTTATAGTGTTATTTTGATTGGTAGATTCCAAATCCTATTATGTTCGAACAATCCATGCTCAAAAAGTGAAAACACCCTGTGAAATGACCTTATCAAGCAATGAAACTAAGAAGAACAGGATGTTTTCTTGTCAAGAGAAAAGTAAAATCAGTTTTACGCCTAGCATTGTGGCACCCCATCAACTAGTCTGTGGCCCTATTGGGGGCCATGTGCCGCCTGTTCGTAACCACTGGGTTATAGAAAGATTTTTAGATGCAACTAACCTAAGTCCAAACACGTGAGATTGTTCATGGTTGAACAAAGAATGAACTTTTGCTTCTGAATTTATCATCACAAGTCGGTCAAACACTTTCTGTAACAATCAATGAATGTGTTTAAATATTTACTATGTAATGGCATTGGCATTTAGGTAATCGCCTGCAAATTTTTTTGAAGAAAAATCTTTTTACTTCTGAGAGAGTGCAAGTAGCCTTTGCTTTGAATGCATTCTCCCCAAAAACATATAGTAATTCATAAGGACAGTAAGATAATTGCTTGTCATAGGCTGAGTTGGTGAAAAAAAATCACAAAAAGGTCCAGATATCATATTTTTTGTAAGACAAGCTGTAGGTGATGTGGTGGGCATGAGATTTGAACCTGCGGCTTTTAATTAGCGATGTCAACCTAGTAAAACCTAATGTTTTAACCACTTGGCCATCGACTATACCTAAATTTTGATTTTTTTAAATACTCACCAATACAGAATCTGGAACTTCTCTGAAACTATACGACGGTTTATTTGGTAAAGTCTGGTGATGAAATATGTGAAACACGGCATCATAGGAACTAAGAATATTCACAAGCCCAATGAAACACTAAAAATAGAAAAATATTGTTAAAATATGCTCAGTGAAAAATATTTTGCTCTAAAAAATTGGAAAATTATACTGTCAAAAATGTAGGCCATAATTTTATTCCTTATTTTAGTTCTATTATGAGTTCGGGGACTGTCTGTGTTAGCCAAGTGAATATATCCCCTGCCCATAGGTTTCAGTCCCTTCACACAACTTGATGCAAAGTAGGCGAACAAAATTAGTTATCTCCATATTGGTACACACTTCTGTAGTGCCCAAATCAGTACCTTGGTATGAAAACTGCCATTTTTCAACAGAGCCATGTTTTATGTAAACGTTCTAATCTATCTTCACAGTTTATAAATGAGACAATACCTTATGAACAGATTTATCAATCGGTGATATGGGGTGTGGTGGAGGTGCGGTCATTCTTATTTCATCCGAAGCACATTCAAGTCCAGCCCATAGTTCATGTACCAATGCCTTCTCAAACCCAGCAAGTTGGAGAGCTGAAACAGAATGGGAAAAATGTTTTTCAATAAACCTTATATCTACTTAGGATTTCCTAATAACAGACTCCAAGGATGATTTAATGGTCTACCTCGGCTTCTCATTTAGTTACTAGGCTAGGCTGGGTATAGGAATAGCTGGACAAGTGAAAGTCTCATATCTTGGATGGTAGAAAACAAAGAGGATACCGTATTTGCTCGTTTTGTAGCCCGGGCCCATATTTTTTCAACCAACTAACTAACCGGGCCCTTATTTAAATCGGCCCTTATTTCAAGCACGAGCGCTTGTTATTTTCAATCGATACAATAATTTATATATTGTTATTTCAATTCTCTTTTGACTTTTTCTACGCACCGCAGGTACAAATCCACAAAAGAAAAAGTTTTGCAATGCCCTATCAATATTGAAACGCCGCACTTGGGCGTCGCGACGCTCAGTTTGAGAACCATGGTGTTACGTAATCAATGCTATCTGTTATATACTTGGACGCCTAAGGTGTGAGTGTTATCTACCGGCGCCCAAAATTCAACAGCGTTGTGACAAAAGCGCTTCTTATTTCCTATTGTTCTCTACCACTGAAAAATCAGCTTTTACGTCGAGCAGGTATTCAAGCACTGGCCCTTATTTAATTTTATGTTCTGTTCACACGGTCGGCTATTCAAACGGGCCCTTAATCAAGATCGGGCGGTAAAACGAGCATATACGATATGTGAAAGACAAGCGGTCCAGTAATTTCCCCAATCAAAATCATTGCCTACAAAAATGTAGATTGTGTGAAAATATTGTAATCAGTGGTTTGGATGGCAAGCATATATCCAGTGATTATTTAGCATAGCATGATGTGCAAACTGTCCGCAATATAGTTTTGAATGTCTATTCAAATCTTCATCGGGTCGAAGAATAGAAAATAAAAGTCACTATATATATGTACAACTATACAGAACCTATTCTTACTATCAAAACCAATCTAAAATCAGACCAGAGTGTCATAATCACAGGGGGCTAAACTATATAAAAATATGTCTAAATATGAATTCTTCTTTATTTAAGGTAACTTACCGACTAGAGATGTACCGATACCACTTTTGTCGCCGATACCGATCCGATACCAGCTAAAAACGCCGATACCGATACCCATACGCCGATACTACAAAAAGGCCGATATTACCGATATTCCGATACCGATACTATGTAATTATTACTTAATTAGGTATGCTGTGTAGGGCAGACGGGTTAAAACAATGGTCTTTAAGCGTTGTTCATAGTACACATTATTTCAGATCGAAAAAAAGATATATATATCACATAATATGAAATTAATGTTTGGTATCCATATGCTGTTACTGATTAAGATACATTGTACAGTAACGCTAAGAATCTCGGTGTTCAATTAGAAAACTCATAAGCCGGGATGTCCAATTTGAATTTAATATTAATATCGCGAGCTTCGAATATCGTTATTCGTGTTTAAAAGAATATCGAATATCACCCACACATTCTAGCGCCGCCGTCCTACGTTCAAATTAAAAGCATTTTACAAATATTTAATTTAATGGCTAATCGTAATCGTCGACGCAATAAGTCAAAGCCAACATGAAAGAATATCAATCAGCACCGACTAGAAAGCCCACCGTTAACCGTTGAGGATGTTTTTTTACTTCGCTATTTTATAATATTTTACAATTGCTATCATATATTTTGAGACAGTCTAGGGCTAGGCGGTCAAGTCAATATATCTATAAAGAAATCGTGTAGTTAAATTAAAATTAATACCTGTGTAGAGGGATAATTGTGTCGGAATTTAGTTTATCGATGTCGACGGACTAAATGACACACGTACTTGACGACAAACAGTCAGAATTTATACCCGTGCCAAAAGTCCATGTGCCGTTAATAAGGAAGGACCCCAATTCCACTGTATGATTTAAAACTGGGCGCCTAGTTGCTTTTTGTTATGTGCTGTGTTGATATATTTCTTCATAAAAACTATGTAATATTAAAATTGTCAATATAAAAATTTGACAGCGAAAATAGCCAAATTAGTTGAGCTAGTTTAGCTGATAAATAGCTAAAAACACGTGAATCCTATTCTCTCGCAGGGGTGGGGACATGTATGGCGCATAGCTCACGATCTCTCCAGACAAAAATAAATTAAAAAGTAGCATTCCAACCTCTCTTTTAAAACATTCTGGACCATATCAAAAAGGTAAATATATCGGTAATATCGGCCTTAATCTAACCGATACCGATACATGGCCGATACCCAAAAAATGGCCGATATTGCCGATACCGATACCCGATACCGATACATCGGTACATCTCTATTACCGACAATTCCTGGAGCTGTTGCCGCAACTTGTGTCACCATTACACCATATCCAAATTTTTCACATTTGCTAACCTGAAAAACATACCAATCTATATAAGGGAATTTGCACTCAGAAGTAAAGTAGACTCATCTATGACTATGAGCAATGTATAAGTGGCCTAGAACTACTGGGACTGTACTGAATTTAATGCAACTGTATAGTTACCGTTTTTAGAAAATTTGCTTAAATCAAGGCCACAATCGGAAAGAAAGAAGACTCATTCCTGAGCAAAGGTACGTTGACCAATGGAGTGCCAATAGCTACAGAATCAATATAGATTTTGTTAAAAACCTGTAACTTCTTCCTATATCTTGTATACATGTATGAGACGCATTCATTGATTGCTCCAGTTTGTTGCAAAAGCAGGAGTCCCTGAAAAAGAAAATAGCACTATGTATACACACCACAAATGGTATCCTAAAATGGTTATTTGAGTAAATATGCAAACAAACCACAATAGAGAAATGCAAAGAGATGTTTATCCTGCAGTAATTTTTAATATAAAAAAAATTCTGTATTGATGATTCCCTGCAATTGGTTTTTGGAAAATACTTTATAAAATATATCAATGGAGACTCTATATATTGAGGAGTTCCTGTGTGTTGCATCAAATATCTTTTGGCAGCATTATTCTTTTTAATTCCAAGTCACCACAAATAGTAGCATACTTGCTATTGGTATGAGCGATCATCAAACTATCTGGGTGACTAACTACTTATCCTTCTACTATTTGGAGAGCAGCAAAAATGTTGTTCGGCATGTACGGTATTTCTAAGAATTATGTTCTGTTGCAAATTAACTATCACGGCTACTAACACTGAATCCAAAACGTTTACGTAGGTTGTGTTGTCGTATACTCATGTGTAGGGCTGTCCAAGCTAACCAAATATTCGAAATCGAATCGAATCGCAAATTATTCGAATCGTTTTTCGGCTAATTTTCGAATCGCTAAAATTAGGTACCGGTACATAAAGCGGAACCTTTATGGGATGTTTTTCATCGGGCAAGCGGCAGCGCTCCGAGCTCAGACCACTCTCGCTCTCAGTTTAATTGGTTTCCCGATATTTCTCTCGCCTTCATTTTGTGATAAACATGTCATTACTAATGCCAACCCGTTGGCACGTGATTAGCCATTTCATGCATGGTCATCATAACAAGGTATAATCGGTCGTGACGTTTTTGAGAGAGAACAAGGAGAAAAAGGAGACAATTTAGAAAACGATAGTTCTATAAATAGAATCGATTTGAAGCTGTTGAGTTAGTTATCATAGGAACATGGTACAGGCAACTCAAAGCTGAAACAGGTGTTTTGGGATCGTTATGATGGCAATACCTTCTTTGAATGGAATTTGTAATTACTTATGATGGCATTACTGTATTATCCATCTATATACCAAGACAAATAATTGCACTCTTGCATTTTGATGGCTGTTGTACACTAACAATATTATAGTCATCAAATAATATTGCCATCAAACTAGCTTGGAATTTTTAAATGCAATTTAGAACTTGAGCAACAGTTTCATCTATATTTTCGAAACCCAAATTTTGGAGTTCTCTAATTTTTTTGACCAGTTCATACAAGCGTGTGATCTCCTTTCATAAATCTGAAAACATTGTATTGCAAAATACCAGCAGTAAGTAAGATGTAACTGCACATACGTTACCGCAACATCGAAGGGCAGACGTTTATTGTATAATAGAGACAGATTTAATATTGCGCAATAATATTCGATTATTCGGTTCGATTCAGCAAAAATATTCCATTCGATTCGAATCAAAAAAGTATTCGATTTTGGACAGCCCTACTCATGTGGCAAGCCCTCTTTTGGATGCTCTGAGTGAAAATACGGGCTTGAGTTGGAACATGAACTGTAAACTCAACCTAGAATCTCGGAATTTTGGAAATCGACTAAACAATTAGAATGCTAATCTCTATCACACAAGGTGCATACTGTGTTTCCCCGAAAATAAGACAAGATCTTACTCTAAATTTCTTTCGAAAAACACTGGGGCTTATTTTTGGTGGATGCCTTTTATTTTTAATTATTAAAAACAAAATTACAAAGTAGAGAATTACAAGAATTCTTGCTATAGATTAGGTCAAAACTATCGATTAGCGCTATTGATTAGGCCTTATTTTAGGTGAATAACATTTTTAAAACTCAGGATAGGTCTTATTATCGGGGGAAAGATGATAGGCATTTAAAACATCTTTTTTCACAAATTTTTTTATGCCACATATGAATCTAACTATATTCAAAAAAATAACAATACCTTTGGTGTTGCAGCATAGTTCAATAGGTTATCGATCAAATTTTCCTCCCATAGCAACATATTATGAGATATTGATTGGCTTGGAGATATATCGGTGATGTCATTGTTACCATGGTAATCGTTACCGTCTTCCGACCCAGTTGGCGTTGACACTTCTCCGTGCTTGTCATGAATCTAAGAACAATATGAAAAATTCTGCTATTTCATTTCAATTGAAGAGAAACACTTTTTATTCCGGCGACCCCCTCCATCACACTTTACTGCCGATTTCACTAGAAAACGCTGCTTCAAGTCATTACCGTACTAGTGCCAATGCACGATCTTCATATTTATATATTAGAGCAAGCTCATCGAACTGAGTGCTCGGACCCAAGGGTGGCTTAATAGGGGGGGCAGAAAAATATTTCCTGACACTAAAAAATTAAATATTTATTGAATTTGGAACTAGTACTGTGAATCACCTTCACCAAAACATAGAGCGAAGATTCAATCTTTTGTGCGAGAATATGCAAGCACATCGTTCTCATTAAAGATAATGTTATTATTATTACTTTTTCATGTTTTCTGTATTAATGAATTTTGCTCTCTTTTTAGTTCCTGAACGAGAAAATTTGGCTGTGGCAAGCAGGCCGTGATGAAATAAGTTTGAATAATACTGTATCAGAGTATTGCTTCCTTGTTATTCTTCTTATGGCCATAACTGAATGAAGACTTTGCACAAATAAAATAATATCTTCCAACCTGTTTCCATGCTCTTGCAAGGCATTCATGCAATCTATATTCTTGTAGTAACGCAAGTCCTTCACATGTGTTGTACATTTGTCGACAAACAAATACAAACGATCCTGTGACGAGATAACTCTGGGTTCGTTTTGATAATGAAGGTAAGTTGCCACATAATGCTTTCTGTGCGAATTCAGCAACAACATGAGCGGCAGCTGAGAACTTTCTGTAGGAAAGAATATTTTTATTTCACATACAATATTTGGTACTCCCGTAGTGTGTGTACCAGATTTGGCCATAATTTTATTCCGATTTTCCCTATTTTAGTTCTATTACGAGTTCGGGGACTAACTGTGTTAGCCAAATAAATATAGCCCGTGCCCATATGTTGCAGTCCCTTTACACAACTTGATGTAAAGCAGGTGAACAAAATTAGTACCTCCATATTGGTACACATACTTCTGGGGGGCCATTTCCTCTTTGTCTCAAGATTTCACGTTGTAACTTGTGAGGCAAATTCGGATAAAATATTGTGAGAATTCAAGATACCCTTTTACCTGGAGCCGATAGTTTTATCGGAGCATCCATACATTAGTTTATTCCTCCCAGATACAGTGGATGTGAGACAAGCTAGTATTTCTGAGATATGAAGCATGGTGGCTTCACTTGCCTGGTTTTCTGAATCTGAAAATTATACAAGGATGAAAATGAATAATCCCTGAATGTTACACAATAGATAAGAGGTGAGCAAGATTTTTGGATCAGGGGCAAAAACTTTGCCCACCTAGACTGACGGACGTAAAAAGTTACATTTTATAAACAAAATTTACAGTGTTACAAAAGCAAAAGTGTAAAGTGGCTTGTGCCGAGACTAAATTTAATCTGATCTCAACAATTTCCTTGAGCTTATTTCAACTAAAAGCTCAAAATTTGGTTTTAGTGTGGTTGTGGCAGCATCAGGTGGGCCAGATTGAATTACTCAATGGGCCGGATTTGGCCCGCAGGCTGTAGTTTGCTCATGTCATCAATAGATCATGCACCAATGTCTATTGGTGTACCGTTACAGTCATGTCTACTTAAGCCACTAAAAATTTAAGTCCGTGTTTTGTTGGTATATTGCAAGAACAGGCATAATTTCAGAATTTCGAACGCCTGTATTCTGCTATAACAAAAATATTAAGGAATACAGAAAACAAAAACCTTGATTTGATATTCCTTCATGTAGCCATGACTTCACAGGAGACAACAGAGCATCGATAATTTCTGTGTTCAAACAATTTTCAACAAATGCACTCGAGCTAAAGAGAGTTCGTAGAATCTAAAAATATAAATGTAAAAATGTCCAGCATTTTTTGATACACTCCCCTTTAGAACTCTTCCATCTCTCTCCTTACTAAGCACAAAAACTTGATGGTTGTGGACATTTTTAAAATTATACAATATTTGTTTTAATAGATAACTATTACTGAATAGAATCTTCCCTTAGTCCAGCGATTCCCAAAGAGTGCACCGCAACTACTCCTTAGGTTTACAAATTTAAAAAAGGCAGAAGTACTCATTAACGATCACAAAAATTGAGTTTTATTTAAAAGCAGCATTTTTTTTCGAGTAAGTTTGAGTTTTTCCCCTGATAATTTGGGGCCGCACGAACAAAAAGTTGGAAACCACTGCCGTAGTCGATAGTAGATTATCAGCTATTGGCCATACCAGCAGTTCATTACATGTGACCAGGTTTATGCTAGAAATTCCAGTTCTTGTTAAACAGTAAGTACTAAGTAGGGGGCAAAAACGAGAAATAAATTAAAAAATACAAGCGAATATGATAGCGAATAGTAATGTCTTTCATTTACCTTTCCAGCGCGTAACGCATATGAGATTCTATCCTGTCGAGCACCTTGCCCACATGCCAGAAATTTCAGTTCTTGTCAGGAAGGGAGCAAAAACAAAAAATAAAGTGAAAATAGTGAACAGTAAAGTGATTTTTTACCTTTCCAGCGAGTAACGCAGGTTCATAACTCTTCTGGTCATATTTCGGTTTGTGTTTTGCAAGATTTAATATCTGTAAGAATGGAACAATCAAGTTCAAGAGAGATTTTATAATTGATTAAACAAAATGTATGTAATTAAATTGAATCTGGATTTTTTGCCACCGAAACATGGTTCCAATGGGTTGGTATCTATGTAAACAATTAGTTTCCCCATAAATCCCAATTTGTATACAAACTCGAAATATTTGCCTGAAATTTTATATCTATTCTAACGCAGATCAGCATAATGCTTCAAACTATTTAGTCACATAGATTGTTTTATACTAGTACTGCCATAGGTTTCCACAGCCGCTGATCGGTTGTAGATTTCTCCACCATTCATTTGCATTCATCTACCCAATCTGTACTAATAGCAAAGTATAAACTGAAGTCTATCACAAAATCAAATTGTGCCATTAACCTTCCTCTCTTAGAAATGATAATTGATAATCATGGCTTGAACAAAAATCCATTGATTATGTTTTGTCTTAGATCAAAATAATTCACCTGTATCCATGTTATAACAAGAGTCTGGATTGAAACTTCTTTTCCTTGCCTTGTTCGAACTGGAAAAAGGTCGCGACCTTGCGAATAGAGTAGTAAACGACCAAGAACACACAATGAATGAATGAAAGTGAGATGCTCTAGTTCTGCTGGTGAATACTTCGTTCTAAACAGGCAAATAATTTACTCATGAAAATGATTATCAAGTGGGAATTTAGAAATTTTCAACACCAGAAAGTGGTTCCAGATTGGGGGTTAGAGACCCTCAGAGGCTCTTTGCATGCAAAACATAGAAACAAGATTAGCAAAATTTAGGAACAGGCCATTATGGTCTAGCTTGCTAAAACGATAAATCACCGGAAACTTCATAAACCAGGCTGCAAGGAATACCAGTTGTGCTGGTGAACACTTCTTTCTAAAAGAGGGTGAAAAATTTACTAATGAGAATGATTTACTAATGAAAATGATTATCTAGGGTAAAATTAAGAATTGTCCAACACAACAAGTAAGTGATTCCCAACTGGTTGGGAACAGGGTGCCAAGATGTCACTGAGCTTTGCACAGAAATCACAAAAAAATCATATCAGACAACCTGCTTTGAGTAGTCCTCAAGTCGCAGGCAAAGTTGAGTCACAAGTCATCTGAATCTCAAGTCTGAGTCAGTTACTGAGTTAAGGATAGGATTTGCAAATTTATCTCAGGTGAGAGGAAAGGTAATTATGCGGCCTAATCATATGGCGAACCATGGCCTGCCTATTACAGGTATGGGGTTAGTTAGTCAGCAGTTACGTGATCTATCCTACGGCAGCGGGGAGTCCAGCAATCCTATCGTACATAATTATCCCCCCCACGGAATTAGAACCTGCGAACCCACGTGCATGGTAATAGTGCAGTAGCGCGCGTTATCCTAACGTAAGCACGATGCGCCACAGCGCGTTGTACTCAATGGCGGTTGATAAATTCAGAGGCATTCTATTTAGATGAATCGAGTCACATTGAGACTTTGGTAAATCGTGATTCGAGTAGAGACAATAATCGGAGAATCCCAAACATTGCAGAGCATACTAAAACCACTACTGAATAAACTTACGAACCTTCGTTTTTCTTCAGCTATTTTATGTTGTTTCATTTTCTTCATCAAGTTTGTCATTCCACTGTTGGATTGTTTTATTCTGCATTTATCACAGAAACTGATACAATGTTCAACTGCATCTTGTAGAAAGACTCTGCAAGGAGATTATCGAAAATAAAAAATACAGGGAAAGCAGATTGGCGCACTGCGTTAGGTTTTATGAACAGGAGCATACAGGCCGATTCACAAAATTGAATACAGTGGGGATATTTATGTGTGAGAGGATTGCTAGACTCTTTGAAACTGAAATGGAACGCATGATAGTTTAATAATTCAGGGCTGTGGAATCAGGAGTCAGAGGTCATATTTTTGAACTATCTGAGGTCAAGTTAGGAAGAGGAGTCGACATTTTAAATTTTCCAAAGTAGGAGTTCGAATTTCAATATTTTTATGGCGATAATTAGTGTCAAATTTTCTAAACAGAATTCAAAAAAATTAAGTTGTCTAAAACTTCTTAACAGTAAATTTGAGGCATTACCTATGCCAAAGATTTTGCTATCAAAATTTGACAAAGTCAAAACAATTTTCAACCTAGAGTCAGTTGGGAGTCTGCTTTGACTGTTGCTATATAGACTGATTAACATACTAACGAGAATATAAGACCGAAGACTTATCGACCGAAGGTTAAGGGATCCCCCAAAACAGCGCTCTTACTCCATAGTAACATCGTTTGTCCCATCACTAATTAATCAATAACTCACTAATTATACGACATAATTCATCAAAAATCAATAGCCTTCTGATCCGAGCTATGATGAATGCACATGCAAAATTTGGAGCAGATTCAACCTCGCTCTCGTGAGATATCGCGTGCATCTAACAGACAGACAAACAAACAAACAGACAAATATCTATCAACATACTTACCGATCTTACGATTGATAAGTAATAACCGGGTAGGTGGTCTCAGTTCGCCATATATTCATACCGCCTTATCACTTTTCTCGCCCCTTAGGATAGATATAGAATTCTATCTTATTTGTTCACATTTTACCTGAAATCTTGCTGCATTTGTTTTATTACGACATATCTACTGTAATTCCCATGCAACCACTTCTTCAGCCAATTTGCTTTTGTGTCAACGAGAGAAAAGAAATGTAATGGCGAAATTAACTCTTTAGCTCCACCCCGAACTGGGAATAAAAAAACATAAAAAATAAATTAACATTGAACATGTGACAGCAAACAGGGTTACTTGTTTTGCTTAGTTTACCTATATTTTTTATCATTACATTTATTGCAACATTAGGTTCTCTGCTAGCCACTTATGTATTTGAGTGTACACTTGAGAAGAAAGAAGTCAAAAATACCATTATTTTTCACTATCAAAGAGACCATATTTATATAATCAGCTAATAACAATTAGATATGCATAGTGCCCAACGTCACTTTACAGTTCATTTGACTTTATACCAAATTTTTTGAATTTCGAAGAGACATTACGGATGACCTGTATACATACCTCACTGCCTAATAGTGGAATTAATTTATACCTGGTTTTGGATGTAGTACAATAATTGAGAGTGTACTTTCAACGATTGCTTCTAAGAAGTTTTCAGGATAGCGTACCCATATTGATGGAACTTGCTGTTGGAACTCGTTCAAAAGTCGAATTCTGGTTTATGAAATAAAGGGGTCGATTGAAATTTACTCATATGATTTAAGTAGCTCTTGAAATTGATACTCCCGAAGTGTGTTAGGCCATAATCTTATTTTAATTTTGCTTATTTTAGTTCTATTACGAGTTCGGGGACTGTTTGTGTTAGCCAAGTGAATATACCCCCTGCCCATAGGTTTCAGTCCCTTTACACAACTTGCTGTAAAGTAGGCGAACAAAATTAGTTACCTCCATATTGGTACACACACTTCTGGAGCGCCCTTGTCATTTTATTGGGCGCCAATGACTCAGTGATGAGTCTCTATTACCTATGAGTAGGTGTGTAAGACCTTGCTTTGACTCTTGATCAAATACTTAGTAAAGAAACAATGTTTGCGGTAATGATAAATTATCCAAATATTAAAATGGCAGAAATATAGTAATGTTGATTGAATTGGCCATTAAATGAATCTTTTCTATTCACCCCATGTATGTGTTCACTCCGAACAAAACTCTGCACAAGAGCCACATATATCCAAGGAACTGCTATTCCATAAGGGACAAAAATCCTTACGATTCGCCATTGCCAGCTCAATGATGATGAGGTGGACAGCAATCCTCTTGCTCATAGCAAGCGGGTCTCTAATGATTAGCAGAATTCACCAACCGCTGAACCACCCAACAAGACAATACCTACCTTTTCAATATATGAACAACTTCAGGTTGGGTTAAATCCAGTCCATCAACTATCATTGGTAAATGATCATGTCTTGAAGAAGTAAATAATGTTTGAAGATGTTCAGCAAGGCAGGTGTACGTTTCTTTCATTATTTGGTGGTTTGAAACTGAAAAGGTGTGCTACATATTATATGATATACAAATCTTTTTATAGAAAATAAAGTACGGTAAATGCAAGAATATATCGTATTTTCCGGCTAATATGGCAGTTTTCTGAACCACAGTTTATGCTACCAAAACAAACATGATTTATTTCTGACTGACTGTTGAAAAAGCAGTAAAATATAATCAATAAAATAGAGCGGTGAAGAGAGAGACAAACTAACCCAATTTTTTTTTTTATTTGCACTGACATTGGGAGGTAATATGAAAAAAAAAAACATTTCAGCGCTAAAAGATGGCCTCGTCTTATTCGCCAGATAGATTTATTAGCCAAAAAACACGGCAGTCAAGATAACATTTAAAAGCATTGTGCCTTTATTGGTATTCATTTTTCACCATACACTTTCTTTTTATACAGTGGCTAATTCATTGTTCACCAATACCCTAATAAATAAATAGGGATTTATACTTATCTAATTACCAATGAAAATATTGCTACAGAACCTGCAAACATCTTAGCATGAAAGCTGAGAGCATCATGAGCAATATGGGTGTCATTGTCCGCTAGAGCAGCCATGAGAGATATTCTCAACTGAGACCAACTCTCACTCGCCATTACATCTGAGGGAGGAACTTGGCATAATCTTCTCAAAGCCTCTCTCCTCACATTGAGTGGTTTTTGACTGTCCATCTCATCGGCAATCAAGTGGAATTGTTTCTGTAGCAAAAATTTGAATAGAGTTATAGGAAACAAACTGTTTTTCTCTATGCTCATAATATCGATAAATGAGGCCTTTACCGAATATGGACTGTAAAAGCATAATTAAAAATAAGTTACAAAATACAGGGTGCTCCCGAAGTATGTGCACCAGGATGAACCCTAATGATGAACCCAACCTGAACCCTAACCTGGTACACAAACTGTGTTCAGGTTGTGCGCCAAGTCTGGAGGTCCAAATATAAATCATAAAGCGTCCAGTCAAGAGTGAAAAGAAGATTTTCAAGAATAAAAGTCTCAAGTAAAATTCTTTAATCTGAACAACTATAGCAATGAAAAAAAACTAACTCTCATTATAAAGAGGTTTAGTGCACTGGTTGATAATTCATCCCTCTTTATATTGCCGTGAATGAGACTCAAACACACTTTCCTACCAGACTTTGTTTTTCAAAATATTACCAAGTTTCCATTGTGCTTCTCTGGCCCAATAAATAATTTCCTAATGAGAACTGACGACCAAATTTAACCACATTCACCTGACTTAAGAAATATAAACCATCATGATCATATGTTGAACCTCCATCACTGAACACAGATTGATGTCTTCTGCTTGGTTGACTGTTGGAATCTTCTTCTCCTATCGCACTCAATCTCTCGTCTTCTATACTTTGAATTATTGTCTCAGATGCTGCCATAGTCTCTGAGCATAGCTTTTTCACAATAGATGAAAATCTGAAAAAATCATGATAACCTCAAGAAGATGGATAGGAAGGACAAAGTCACTCATTGGTCTACCAATGATGAAAGTCAATTATGGTACACGTCAGTGGTGTGCAGTGGGGCGTTTGGCATGTTTTCACCAAAGCCATATTTCCAAACTCCTTGATGAAGTGAGTCAGAGTTGAAATTCAGTCAAAATTACAGACATTAATAATAATGAAAGTAAAAAATTTCCACAAAAAAAATATTAACTTCATTATTATTGTATAAAATGTTTTTGAAGTCTATTTTTGCATATGCAAAAGTTTATGTACACCAGAGTTTGGAGTTGTAGAAGTCACAATTTTTTTTCAACTCGGAGTCAAAATTTATTTTAACCTCAAGTCGGGAGTCAGTTGTAAAATTGTTCCCTACTCCATGGTCCAGATTATTATGACCACAACAACATAACAATGTCTCCTCCATATAAGTGAAAATTTGCCTAGAGAAAAGTCACACAAATTCACTCATCAAGTATCAAAAACTCATCTCTATGCAAGTTATGAACAATCACTTATATGTCAAAAGGTAATGAACAGTATACAACAAACCCTTTAGAATCAGCAACAGAATTGGTGACAAGTTGAACGAGAGTTTCTTGTCCAGATGTTGCGTTCATGCTGCTGCCTCCCATGCTGTTCTTTTCTATTTCTTCATCAATCAAATGTCCCATCGCTGATTCCAATTGATTGTGGATGTGACGAACAAAATCATATCTACAAAATAACGGTTAGATAGTAGATAGCAATATATATAGAGATAGGGATGGATGGCTCAACCAGGGTTGTGGAATTGACGAAAACTCTGGGATGACAGAAATTTTGATTCCAACTCAAGCTCTGAACTACGAGAAACCAAAATTTTGATAACAAACATTTGTTGTATACAAGCCCTCTTTCTTTGTCTATTGAGAATGTTTTTTCAATTTCATGCAAAAAAAATTTTATTTCTGAAAATCACCAAGAAAAATACAAAATTAAAAATTTCAACTATACTTCCAACAGTGAATGGTTTAGATTCAGAATATACGATCCGATATCATGATTACCTCCGACCGACTTCACGGCCAAAACACCATTCAGTCCTTTGAGAAATTAAAAAAGATATAGACCACCAGATATAGGCTATTTTTCAAACTCTGCCCTGTTAAAAAGCAAAGAATAAACTTTTAACTGCAGACAGTTTCTTAAATAGAACAAAGAGTGATGTTAAAATTAATATTGCATGAAATTGAATTTCAAGTTAGTTTTTTTAATGGATGTAATGATGCTCTTACTTGTGAAAATTTTCGTCTGTTTCTTCTAAATGCAAAATTGCATCTTCAGCTGCTTCAACTGAATCTGATTCTTTTATGATTGGTTCCACATTTTTTACCAACTGATGGAGATGAGACAAAACCTCTTCTGGGTCTGAATCCATTTTTTCACTAAAATACTTCCCGAGTACTTCTTTCTAATTGGAAATCCGAGAAAACACAGCAAAAACCAAAATACAACAAATTAATTTTGCCAAATATGTGTTTAAAGTTGCCAGAAGTTTTCATATTAATAATGCTTTATAACTTTGTCCTGTTACAAAAAATACAACAAACAAAAATAAAAGTCTATTTAGTTTATTTGTGTTATGTTGATCAAATTTTTCATCAGTGATTAGAAAATTAATGCAAACTAAAATGCATTTGTATTAAAATGAAGCAAGAAAATATTTGTTAAAATATGGCAACAATGAACGTGTCTATGGACGCCTAACTCAGCCATGCGTGACAGTAATATACTTTATTTTTTATAATTTACAGTACAATAAAATCAATTTTATTCACGAATGATTTTGGCAAAATGTATTAAAATTTTTTGTTCAAACATAGAGTTTATTTGATTGGAATATGATGTCAAAGTGTCCGAGCCATACACATGTGATGCAGACATGTGGGATATTTTTGCAAACCTGTTGAAACCACACGAAAATGAAGTCACACGAAAGTGACACGAAATGTAGTTGGCGTACCGGTATGTGAAACATAATTAGATAGTGGCATACATTGAAATCAGATTAATAATAAAACAAGAAAATATAAAATTGCAGATCATAATAAACAAAAGACAGGCCTGTGGCTGCTTTCATTTTGCTTTGCTCGTTGTTTAGTGGTGTTTTTTTTTAAAGAGAGAGCGAGATTTATTGTTTCGTCAACCAGAAAACGAGCAATGGAACAATAAAATATATACAAAATATGCAAGTTAATTTGGTATAAAGGGTATTTTTGCTCCACATTCTAACGTTTAGCATTTAGTTTGGGATTGAAATTGAAATTTCTTGGTGAGCAACATCATGTAATTGTTTTAAAATAGTTTATTACCAGTATATTCTTTTTGAATGTGAACTAATATTTATGGTGGTTATCATTTCACCATAGACAGATAGAATTGTAGTGTATTCTGGTATTGGAGCTACTGTACTAACTTATTACAGTATTACTTAGTCCAGTAGTCTGCCTTAGGCATTTTACAGGACATTAACAGATTTACAAAGAATTGAGATGGATACAAGCACAACCCCATGCAAAAGCTTTGACCAATTTAATGATTTGCCACCTTATTACAGTATTATATTGTTCGGAAACGTCTCTGCAAGACCCTAGTGGTCGAAGTATTCTCTATTTCTGTATTGGACTTTTTTATAATATACTCTTTTTATTTACTTCCATTACCTTATTATAGCAAACTTCCTGGAACTTTAATGACTGTATGACCTTTTAACCTTTCATTGTTGGTGTATTCCAGATTATTTACATGTGCAATGTGCCTACTGTAATGTACAGTAGGAAGCTGAATTAACCATGAAGCACAAGATAAATATAGAAGAAGGAAATGACAAAAATGTGGAAACGAAGAGATCAAAACCGAGTGAAAACAAAACAAATTTAAACAAAAAACATGAACCTTTTACTTCACTCGAGTTCAAGAACTTATTGAAAGAGCCTGATACGAGATTTCAAGGGTTAAAACGTTTCTCGTCGGCATGTGAACATTATGTTCCGAGTGACAAAAATGGTGTTGATATTGTCCGAGCGTATATCAGCTCTTCCCCGGATTGTTTGGAAATTTTTAAATGTTTCGGATCTCATAGTTCGTCTGACGAACTTGCAGCTATATTTCGAAGTCTTTTACATATCTTGACACGTACAGCTGGAGATCTTAAAGAACTTTACGGAAAAGTTGGATTCAATATTTGTGGAAGTTTAATTCAAAGTCATTTACAAAAAATATATCACGCTCTAGGGCTCCGACAGTCACCTCGGACAGTCTCACTCACATTAAAAATGCTTACAATGATGGTTATGCAAAATAAAGACGCGGCTAATGAAGTGGCAAATAACCTCGATTTTAGTTTGAGATGTTTCAAAGACGTTTTGAACAAATTAAAAGGGAAATTGGGTTATGAGATTAGAGTAGCGTACATTCGTTTTGTTTTGTCTTTTTTCATGGCTAATGATGTCAACACGAGCCGAAAAATTTTAGAAACTCAAGGGTTGATAGCGGTAATCTTCAAAAGTCTCAAATACGATTCGGCATCAACAGTTCAACTTGTGTTAACTACTCTCAAAGAAAAGGCAATTGAAAATATTTTGATTCCGAAAACAGCGAAAGTACGCTTCCTCGCCGAACCTAAAGTCTTGGTTAACATTGCAGCATTATTCCAGTGGGATGGAGTAGTAGACATTGTTTCTGAATCTGAAAGTGATATAAAAGAATATGTTCGAAAAATAACTTATGAGTTTCTTTATAATTGCTGTTGTCCTTTCAAATATGGTATCAATTTTAAAGATAGGACATTAGGCATTGGAACGAAGTCGAAAAATCATGTTTTGCTTGATTTTGTAACAATTCTGCTGTCTTCAACTACGGATCAATTAATTTGTGACCTCATAATTGAAATTTTGAAAGCTTGTCCTGATTTATTGCCTCGTGTGATGGCGGATTATAGGATTTCGTTAGAACCAAAGTTAAGTGAAACTTGGTTGATGAACTGTAAACTGACAAAAAGGATTTATGAGGCACAACCAGATATTGCAAGCGCTTTAATACAAGCGACATCTAACAAATCTGACTTTTCTCAGGAGAATGATAAAATAATGATTCAAGATTTTGTCAAAATGGCAGTTAATGGACTATTTTCTGTAAACTATACAACGACTGTTCTACGGCATTGCCTCAAACATAAATCAGCTGAAATAAAAATCAAATCTTTGGAACTTATGTTATCATTTTTACAAAAAACCCAAGCAAGTATCAAGTTTATTTCAGAAAAGGAAAATTGGTCCACAACTATTTATAGCACAGATGAACTTGAAATGTTTTTGACTGGACTGCAAGAAACTTTGTTCAAAACATTTATCAGTGTACAACTTATCACTTCTACATGGAAAGAATGTTGCGAGGAAAATACATTGGACACAAAAAGTATCATATTGAAAATTCTTTTTCTTTTACGTGATATCTTTCCAGACATGATAACCGAGTCAAAATTTGACCTCACAAAATTACTTTTTGGAATTAATATTTCTGAAACTGAGGATGAAGAAAATGTACTGATTTTAAAAATGCTTTCCAGTGCTCCACATGAACATAAATGGTTTAAAGTTGTGGAAAAAGGGCAATCTCCTTTTCGTCGTTTAATACAAATTATTTATGACTGTAAAAATCATGTTTCCGGAACTTGCAAAGAAGCTATTTTGTTGTTTAAAAGAGTTTTGGTTGCGGACAAAATTTTGAAAGAAAACGAGTCATCAGAATCAGAGATTTGGATTCAAAGTTTGATTTTAAAATTGAGGGAACACAACGATTTTATTGTATTGAATTATATTCATGATATATGTAGCCTTGTTGTACGGAAGCCTGTTCACTACAATAGTCTTTTGGCTTCATTTGAACAAATGGGAATGAATAATACTTCAGAGACCAAACCAGTTGTTGAAAAAGACAGAAAATTTTGGGAATCTATCCCTGATGTGGTAATAGAATCACACAATTCTGAATCAGTTGAGACATCACAGAAATCTGTTTTCATTGCTTCACATAACCACACTGAAAAATTGTATGACGACGCTGATAATATTGACTTAGGTAATGGTGAACAAAAAATGTCATTATTTGGCATAGCTGCGTTGGATCATTTGAAATCCTGTCACTCATTTGGAAGTGAGGAAAAGGCAACCTTGGATTCCTATCTCAGTACTGTAATGATCGGCCTATTTCACTCAGTCAAAAGTTTCAAAGATGCTCAACGGTTTGTTCGTGTATTCAAAGCTTTAACAAAAGATGTTGATGAATTTGATTCAACTTTCTCTGGTCTGGCAAATTTCAAAACGTTTTTATCAATATGGCTCAGTAGTGAAAGTGGAAACTTTGTTCCGAATGAAAAAAATATTGAAAGTTTTGTACAAGGCTGGTTTTGGCAAAGTTACAAAATCAAGAAAAATCTTAAGAAATTGAAATTGTTGGAAAAAATTAAGTCATGGGTTTCAGAAATACATGGATCAGGAAATTATGTTCCTGAAGTTGAAATATATCAATTTAAGTGTTTAGTTCAACAGCTTTTACTTTATTTTGACACTTTATGTGGCTTTGAAAAGGAAGGCTGTACACTACCAACAAATTCGATGAAAGAAATTCTATACAGTATCCTGTTCTTACTCAGAGAGGCATCAGAATTCTACAGCGAGAATCAAGTTAATATAACCAAGACTGGTTTTTCAAATAATAGCATGGAAGTAAATTGTCCTTCAAAGAGTGTGACTAATCAACCGGAAAAATTGTTTCTATGGAAACTATTCCTTGATTGCTCAAGCATGAAAAATCTGTTTTTCGATGATATTTATCTATCAAAATACGATTTTGATTATACAAGAATTGATTTTGAAAACTTGATGAAAAAGGATTTATCACTGCAACAAATATGTACCTCAGTCACATGTGATGCGATAAAAGATTACCATGATCTTTTCGTAAAAGCTGATTCAACTTCCGTTAATTTTTACATTTCGAAGATTTGTAAATTGATTGTTATTCTCCTAAAGGAGCTCTCTTTAACGAAGTTGAAAAAGGATCCAGAATACTTGATATTGGAATCGTTCACAACTTTACAGCCAGTTATTTCAGCGTCGCATTTGTGTAAAATTTTAGCTGAAGTTTCAAAATTGTTGCAAAATTTGAACTCGAAGTCAAATGTGAGAGTGTTTTCCACAGTGATTTGTCAGTGTTTGCAAGGCATATTAGCAGATAAAAACAAAATAAACTGTTTGCAAGAGTCTGTAAAAGAGCTTTTTGAGTTTTTAACGTCAAAGTATCTCAAAGATAAATCAAGGATAATTGAGTTGTTCGTTCAATTATTGGAATTTCATCCACATTTTGCTTTTTGTGGATCTGCTGATGTCATCAATTTATGTATGAAGAATCTGGATTTAGAAACTGTGGATTTGATGACAAAATTAATACAATATAACCCCATGCTTCTTACGCACTGGTGTAAAGAAACAAATTTGTCAAAATTGAATGAAGAAAAGAAACTTTCATTAATTCCGGTTATAAATCAAGTTTTGTCGACGTTTTTACCAAATAATGATGAGTTTTCAAAAATGAAATGTGCAGAGATTCTAAATTCTTATAAATCGTTAATATTTGTACCGATTGAAGAATTCTCCAACAGGTTTGATGACATCATATCCACTAAAATGGGAAAACAATTTATGGAACATATATTTACAATCGCGACAGCTTTGGGTGAAGAAAACTTATATAAGCCTCTGTTAGATTCTATTTTGAATCTGGAAAATACAACTAATATAAATTTGGACATTGTGTTATCCATTGGGCAGTTGCTTCAGAAGGTTATCTCGAAGCCAGAGCTGTATCAGATCCATGCCTCGGAAATTTACCTATGCGTGCATTATATTGTATCACAACCCAAATCCCAAAGCGAGACGGATAGAGGATTTGAAACACTGCTGCAAAAGATACAGTATTCAGATGTAGAAGAGTATCCTACTATTTGTGGCAAATTATCATCTATATGGGATAAATTTTTAAAACAGACGTTAAAACATCATTTTGAGAATGCAACTGCTTTAATATGTCTTTTACATTTTGTGAAAATGTTTTACGCCGACGATGGAAAAATACAGGAATATGTGACTGTAAACAACATCACAGATATTCCAACATTTAAATATATGTTGACGAATCATTCCAAATTTTTTGCAATAATTCTTGAAGAGGACGCGGACTCAGTACAGATGAAAGATGATAAAGTAAATCTTAAGTTAGTTGTTCTACAATTGTTATTTGAATTGTGTGTACGCTGCGATCGTAATGATCTTTCAGACAAAGATCTTGGATTTTTATTCGGTGCCTATGGATGTACTTTAACTCAGACTGATCAAACAATTTTGACGATTATTTTGCTGTTTGAGCAGAAAGGTGTCAGTTTGTCTGAATATAAGCCGTTTCTGTGGGCAAAAGCTGCACTTTCGTCATACCGTGCGAGACGCAATCTTGGTGATACATTATGGAAAAAACCAAGTCCAAGTGATATATTAACTTGCTTGGATAATGATATCATGGAGGCTACTTATGCAAGATTTCCGCTTCGAAGGCGCATGTTGAACATCTCTTCTGATGTCAAAAATGTGGATTATTTTGAAAATGATCCCAAGGTTACTATTTCAACTTCAGAAAATAAAATTTACGAAACTCAAGAATCAACACAAAACGTCTACGATCCCAGTTTTTTGCTTCCTGCTTTACTAGATCTCCTTGGTCCTGAGAATCTATTAGACTGCAAAATGTTCGTCAGGAGTGGCGCTTTGTCATTTTTAATGTGTTGTCTTGCTAGTCATTGTCCGATGGTACGTTCACTAGCAGCCTCTTGTCTGTCATTATATTATCAACATGCTATAACAGCATGGTTTCCAGAGAAAAATTTAACTTTGTATTTGATTCGTTGCGTTCGAAACGGAATGGAAATTAAAACAGATGGTGACATTGATGCTATTCCTAGACTCTCATCAGTCGTAGCGAACTTTCTTTCGACTGTTGTGAGGCTACATCAAACTCCTGACAATCATATGTTTTCAGTATTGCATCGGTTCATTTTGATTAAACCACAACTCGATTTGAAAAATGTTCCTGAGTTTTACGTCTTGTTCTTCAGTGCTGAAATGGAGAGTAAAACAGAAAGAACCTGGATTTTGAACCTAGTAATTGAAGGCATACGAGATATGGGTGATTATCATATTATAAAAAAGAAAAATGTGTTTCAACTTCTCATGTGCTTGCATGATTCACCAGTGAGTGACAATTACGTTCGTCGACAAATTTTTCAAATATTTGAGCAAGCTTGCACAATCCGAAGCGTGGCAAATGATCTTATAAGAAATAACGGACTCATAACTTGGCTCACAACTGCCACCAAACAACAAGCCTCTGCAAATTTAGGAGTTATAAAAACATACCCATGCTTGGGTGACCCAGGCAAACGACAAGAAAATACTACTCATGTTGTTAGAGTACTTTGCATGATTTGGAAAACCTTAAATGTGAATGAATTTATCGCAAGTGAAAAGATGGACCAAGTTGTTGCATGTACTCAAGACACACCTGAAGAAGACAAAACCCTTCCAATCATAGAAAAAAGAGCAGCTCTTGCCCCGTTCAGAGTTGTGAAGCAGCTGATAACTCTTTCAATATCGTTGCTAGGTAACATGTTCAGCATGATTGAACATGCTTCAAATGATACTTTGTTCTCGGAAATGTCTACTTTTTTCACAGATACATTATCTGTTCTCGAGTCTTGCTTATCAAATTTATCTGAGAGAAGAAAAAATTCGATTTTAAGGAACAAGGACCAGCAACAGACATTAGAAGATTCCTGCGACTTGCAAAAGGAAGACGTCAGAGTTTTGCTCGCCATTGCAGAATTGGAGACAAATTTTGAATCCAATGATATTATTATTCATCTTGTCAATATTTTAATGTTTTGGACACCTCAATTTTACAAAGTTGAAGAAATTAAGGACCAGGATTCTGAATTATGGCTCAGATGCGCAAAATGGGTTTTTGGAAAAGCTCTAAAAGTGTGTATTGATGACAGAAACTGGTTTGAAAAACATTTTATAAGGGTTTTAAAATGGGTGCAAACTTGGGTAGCATTCGACAAAATTGACTCACAAATGATGGATCTCCTCCACCATTGTTATGATATTATATGCAACCGTTTTGATGAGCTTGGTGAATCGAAAAAAGATTGTTTGGTGATATTGAACAGGATTTTAAATTCTGGAGTTGAATCAGATTCGAGAGAGGATGGTACTTACCTGAACGTTCTTCTCAAAATGCAAAATATCAGGGAAGGATGTGATCAAATAGGTGAGACCCAAATTTATATACAACTATTTTTTCACAGTTTTAAGCAAATTTTATGAAGTCCTAAACGCTTGATTTGATGGTCTTGTTATTTTAAATAAAATTGATTTTACAATATTTCTACACAAAATTTAAAAGCGTATTGTCAAACTCAATTTTGATTCTGTTTTCAGGTTCACATTGGATATGAAGAAATGCATGTAATTAGGCCGCACAGTAATCATCGCGGAACAACTTTTGAGTCAATCTTGAAAGAAACTGAATTGTGCATGAGCATTATTCCAGATGGAAATAGAGACTGAAGTGACCATGTGGGAAATTTCCTGAACACAAGCAGACTCTCACTGGATGCACAGACATTAATAAATGAATGTTTATATAGAAGCTCATCTTAAATGCCTCATAAAAAAAATTTGAATGAGGATTCCTATTTGATCTGTGAAATTAAGACCCACACCTGTACAATTGAAACTGATTTTTCATAGGGATTATAATACTACTGCCTTAATGTGTTAAATTGAATTTCAATCATTAACTGAATTGCTTCCAAATAAATCAAATCCAACAAGGGATATACATTCACTAAGCCACATGATTAACTGTGAAATGGTCATACATTAATGTTGTTACACAAACAATGGAGTAGGGTTAAAATATTGGAAGATTTTCTAATGCTTATTTTCATGGTATGGTGCAATTCGAAACTAAAAAATTGCTGAACTTGTCGCTCCAGTGTGGTAGACTACACCAGACCTGTTCATCTGAAATGCTTATCTTTGCTTATTCTGACTCTGATTAGTAATTGGAAATACCTAGCCATGAGTTAGAATTCAGCTTTCTTTCTGTAACCACAATGAACTATGGTGACGACATGTTTTATGTTACTGTGTCTGCTAAAGTTATCTTGTGATAATAGACTAATGCTTACTTGAGAAACAGTGATTTGAAAAATATGTTTCTGCAGCATCAATCATTACAGGTTTCGGATCTTTTTCAGCTTAATTCTTGAGAAAAAATATTAATCATGTCCTATTTTGTTGAATAAAATATTTGCACTGCCAATGAATTTGGTTTGCTAATTTCTTGTCTTTGAGAAGCTGAAGACAATTCTGGGGATACCCATAATAGGTTCAGCATAACGCAAGTTTCATATTGATATTTTGAAAGACCTATAATATCAATTAAGAGGTGCTATCCTCTGGGTGTGACATCACGCAGGTGGTCCAACGGGTTGTAATATAAACTGGTAGGCAAATACTACTATCTATCCCCTCCAATGTCTCCTCCTGCTGGCCGAGTTGTGACAAGGTGTGTAGTCGTCATGCATAATGACAGTCGTAAATAAATTTTCTTTTAATGTTAACGGAGGCAGTCCATTTACCTATCAATTTGCGACTGACTTCACTAGTTCCGTAAGAGAGACTACTATATCCTTATGTCATCATTATATGTTAAATATGTCCCTCAGCATATCACGTTAGCTGCGCATTTAAATTACCGAAAACGCTGAGAAGAAAGTGCACGTTTTCAATTGGTTTGAATAGTACTAATATTCACGATTTGTATTTTACTAAGCCTTGGAATCAAGTCCAATCCGCACTGTCCCTGTTTTTTGTTTTTGACAAATTTTATCCCACATGGAAATAAAATCCGAATCCAAGATAACGAATATGACAGATGAAAATTAAACTCAAGAACTTCGAGTACACTTCAATCGGACTTTCAAAAGTCTGAAATTCAGACTCCAGAAAATATGACCCAGACTTCAATATCCTCCAAATCACACACCAGCCTTGGACTTCAAACAGCAAGGAATGAGATCAGTATCAAGTCCTGCACCCCATTTCACACTGTACAACAAAAAACAATTTCTTGGTTACATTTTATTTTACAGCATGCACATGTAAACATCAGTGAATAAAAGAAACAAAAATTCTACATCTAAAATCAATCCCTGAAAAATGCAAAAAGCCGAGCATATTGAAACTTTGGTTCTTCTAACGGGCTGGCACATTGCGAGAAAAACCTTTGCACAAATCAACAATTTTGCCAATAATACCATCTTGTATACCTAGTTTAACCATCCGAAAAACGTTTTTTCTCTCACGATCTTAGAATATCACATTTATATAAAATGAACCAAATCAAGTTTTCACACAGGTTTATCACACAATACTGACTGCTACCCAGTTGACAACTGGCTTTAACAATGTCTAACGGTGACACAAATATCTCAAATCCAAAGGAGTAAAATACTGCATAAAGTTACTACATGATACTACTTCTACAAGTGTTATATTTTCAAATGGTAAGCGCTTATTTGTCTTTCAGCTCTGAACATGGGCAGGCAGACTGCTAGAAAAAAGCTGCAATTTTTGAAAAAAAAAACGCAATCATGCCAGTGTAATAGGACCTACTCACACTACACCATTGCTCAATTAATGTGTAGTTAAATACAATCACTAAATGAACAACAGTTTCAAATTTGGGTGACTTCCATTATTCTCAATAAATAAGCATGTCAGTTATGACAATGATTTCTCATGAATCCTAGTAGACTAAATAGAACGGATCAGAAACATTCAAAATTCAGATTTTCAAAGGTACGTAGAAGCAAGATCAAAATAAAAGGCATGTTATGAAAGCTAGAACTAAGCAATGAAGATGAGAACAAATTCAATGAAAAATAGCCTTCCACACAAAAAATAACACCACGTCTAAGACTCTGTGTTTTTCACCAAGCTGTTTAAATCATTTTCGATTGGACAGCATTAGACAATGATTTAAAATGCAACATACATTAATATTCAGCTAGTTTTCATATAAAATAGGGAAAAGGTTGTTATGACAAATGTTAGGAAAACCACAAATGTACAGAAACATTGAATAGGTTTAAAATTAAAGCGATTTTAGGAGTGTTGGGAGGCCAAAGTCATTGACTATTTTACACAAAATACAAAGAAAAAGGATAATCACACTTATTAACTGGAGAAGGAATGCTGCGAAGACCCAAAGCTGGCTATCGGGCAGTGACGCCCAAGGATCTTATATAGGTTGCCAATATTCATATTCACATGGTTATCAGAACTTAAACCAAAGTGTTACACGTAATTTGAGTTACTGATTAGCAAAGACTTGAGAAATCAACTAGTCGACTTAGCTCAGATGAATTGTGACGCCAGACTCAGGGTTTAGTGACTCTCCCCAACACTTGATTTTAACATTATCAATCTCATAAATAAAGATTCAGAATTTCACGTTTATCTCTCATGGGGTGTCCATAAAATCCCTTCACAATTTCAATTTTGTTATGAAGTCAATTTACCAGGTTTGTTGTTCTTTAATCCGTACTTGTTCAAGTATTTTCACTTCATTTAATAATTCATTTGCAAGGGCCAACACAATATATGGTATCGATAAATTCCCTTTGCAATTTTAATTTTTTTTGGACTTTATGGACAACCTATAGTCAAGATTTTCAACATAATAGCAATGAATAAAAGGGGAAAAAAAACGAGGATATTTCAAATACAATATATCTATCATTTCCATACTCTGTGCTCAAACTCTCTCGTTAGATTTCACAACCTAAGACTTCTCTAGCACAAACCTCTGATTATTAGATATTCACACAAAAATAAAATAAAAATGAATGCAATGAGTACCATGATGTGAAATAAAAACCAGTGACTGTGGAAATTGATAAAAAAAAAGGGCGTTTATGCATGTTTACAGTATATCTTTTGTATATTTATCAATTTTAAGACATTTTAGTCCACCGACATACATATACATATATATATATAGGGTGTTCATAAAGTCCTGTTTTATTACAATTTTTTTTATTAAGTCAGTTCTCGATATATCTTACTAGCTTTTTTTATACATGCGTATATATGTCCACCATTAGTTGTGTGAAGCACATCAATTTTTTTTAATACAATTCAATACAGGGCGATAAACACCCTAAAATATGGTGGTCTACTGCTGTGCATCAAGTACAGCAACAAACAGTCGATCAACCCTCAGTGATTTGGATGCTTCCATCAGAATTTATGACATTTTACCATTACGTAATACCAACAATAAAAAGCGTAATTATGGTTAGAAGTAAAAAACTGAATTTAAAAAATTTACCAAATGATATGGCCACCAGCTTAATCAATTATAAAAACAAGGTTACAAATGGTTTAATATTGAATATAATAGCAATGGATGCCAATTCTTTTCTCACAAATCTTATTGAAACATCAAAGAGTAAATAAAATTATATCAAACCATGCCTCTTGATGCATAAAAATTTCTGCCAAAAATAATATTCTTTGAGTGAACAACATAAGAGTCAATGCCTAATGATGCATAAAAAATTTTAACCTAGTAAAATTCTTTATTGAATGTACAACATAAAGAGTTAATGCATAATGATGCATGACGAATTCTGCCAAAATTATATATTTTTTTACAGTAAATAACATATCATAGTCAAAAAAGCTAATACCAAATATCATGCCCAATGATGCATATAAAATTCTGTCCAAAACATATTTTTTACTTTGCGGTCAATTTAATAGAGTTAAGCAAATAATACTTAATCATGCATAACAGATTATGCCTAAATTAAAATTGTTATTTCATGAAACTGGAGATTGTTTATTCATTATTGTTGTTATTCATAATTGTTAAGTCGAGACTGGGGTAAATTAGTTGTTAAAGTAGACAATTATTCTTTGAAACAACTCTTAATAGTGTAAAAAATCTGGTGGAAAAATCCAAAAAAAATTTTCAAAGTCAGAGGTTGTCAGTTACACCTTAATGTTGAGGGCTTTCGTCATGTTGACACCGGTAAGCTTCTCGACGACAGCTGGAAGTCTAGCAACAACGTCAAGAACCTCGCTTGTCAGTTTAGCCGCACCGATATCCCCCTTTCCGCTTGACACCATAGTGATTTTCTTTGTAGCAGATAGAGGTGCAGCAATTTCAGCAGCGATCTGAAGTAAGAATTTCAATAAATTATTCAAGTAAATTCAAAAAATCCAAGTAAATGCCTATTGATCTGCTCAAATCAGAGCCAATTGATAAATTTTCAAAAGTTCTGAAGGGAATACTTTTTATATTAAACAAACAGTACTTTACCTTAGGCAGGGTAGAGAGAACCATATCAACCATGGCGGCCTCTTGGTAATCTTTCCAAGCATCGGCTTTCTTTGCCATCTGTTCAGCTTCTGCCTTAGCTTTGGCTTCTACAGCAAATGCTTCTGCTTCTCCCTTCATTTGAATAGATTGGGCAGTTGCGTCTGCCTCCAAGATGATCTGAAATGAATCAATTTTTTACTGTTATTTTTACTCTGAACAAATAAGCATTGATATGATGGGATAAGGGAATTTTCATTTCATCTTGAGGGAGAGACAGGCAATAAGATGACCTAATCATATGGCAAACCATGGCCTATCATGAAGTTACCTGTCTATGTGGGGTATGGAATAGCTAACTATTTATTTGTTTAGATGCACGGACTTGGTGGTGGAGGAAGCTGTAACCAACCAGCGGTTACATGAACCACCCTACAACGATGACAAGGAGTCCAGCAATCTTCTCGAATATAATTATTACCTGCAAGATTTAAACCTGCAAACTGGTGCAGGGTAATCAATAGAGTGATGACAAGCATATTCCTAACGCTATAATGCGCCAACCGCCGAGTAATGGATATCTTGAATGGTAACAAAATCTTTCCATTAAAACAGTCCGCCCAATTTTTCACACCCAGTGCAATGTGTAATACTTGAAGTACAGTGCGCCTATCGCCAAGCAATAGATTCCATTTGGAGGCAATAAAATCTTTCCATTTAAACACAGCCCGTCCCCTTTTTTTTCACCCAACGCAATGTTCTTAAAATTTCAATCACTAATTTGCAACCTGCACATTGCGACAACCACTCAGACGGATTTCAAGCATAGTTGTAAACTGAAGGTGGCTTTAGACAAGAAACTACTGATACAAACGAGTTCGGGAAAAGCAAAAAAACATCCAAACACAGCTCACTTTGTTTATCACACCTTCCGCTTTTATTTTCAACAACATAATAAAACATACCCTGTTTCTTTCAGCCTCAGCAATTCTTTCCATTCTGAACTTCTCGGCTTCTGCTGGTTTTTTGACCTGTGAACAATAGAAGATAAAATATCAGTCAAAACAATGTCATTACAAGAAAAACTGACTAACCCGTAAATATCATATATAAAGCTCTATAATTTTAGGCAATCCTTCAAACAAATAGACAAGGGGAACCTACCATGTATGACAACACAAAAATCATTTCTCTCTTTTTTGCTTGAAAGCAAATTTTTTGCGAAAAAGTTCTTTGAAAATTCATATTTATGATATTCCTTTTTATCTCTATTTAATTTCCTGAAAGTATATATTAGAAATGATTCAACCTAATGTCAATGACTTTCTGGCAACTCGGAAGGACAGCCCTCCTCGCTTAGTGATGTGATATTTGAAACATTGTCTGTAGATACTCGTACAAAAAAGAAATGAATCAAACATCGACCGGACCTGAGCCGTGAGTTCTTTATCTCGTCTGCTGATTTCCTGTTCTTGTACTTGAATCTGTTTGTTTCTTTCTTCAACCTTAATCTGCATTTCGGCTTCTTTAATCGACTGTTTCGTGATGGCTTCTTGAAGATTGTACGCCAGTTCGGATTCTGCTTTTTTTGTGCTGACCTGTAGGAAAAGACAAATTTATTATTTAATAGACCCTCCTTTCATTCATACTTTGTTTCACATCATATTCAGAACGAGTGGTTTGCAATATGCAAGTGATAACGTAAATAGTCTGGTACTTCCATAGTATGGGTACCAGGTTAGGGTTAGGCCATAACTTTATCCCGATTTTTCTTATTTTAGTTCTATTACAAGTTCGGGTATTGTTTATGTTAGCCAAGTAAATATGCCCCCTGCCCATGAGTTTATGGAATGATTTTAACCAGGCGAACAAAATTAGTTACCTCCATATTGGTACACATACTTCTAGAGCGTTAATCGTTTTGTGTATCAATCCATTTTCTAAAAAATTACTCGTTATCTGCCTGTTTGAGAACTTGACATAAAATTATCAAATGAGTTAAATTTAATATTGAGACAGAACAACTTACTATATCGATCACATTATGCTTTATGAGACTATTATTATTGTTTGAAGGTGATTTTGAGTAATGCATATGGAAAAATTATTGTTAGTAATGGAAGAGGAATATCCTTGGTTGGAATATCGTGGAATGGTTGGAATATCGTGGTTTAAATAAATAAAAAACACTTAATTTTTTTCAACAAGCAATTAACTTGCTCATATTATATGGAAAAAAAACACTTGGAATTTTATGATCGTTTCGTCACTTTTAGGATGTAAGCAGCATTATTAAAGTTTTATATTATCGAGTTATGGATATTGTAACAATTCTATTATATGCGATGCGTGTATAGTATAGTATCCTGAATTTCATACTTGAATGACAAAATAATTTGGTACTCCCGAAGTATGTGAACCAGGTTGGGGTTAGGCCATAATTTCAGGTACAAATAGTACGGGAGTCACTTTGCTAGTCTCCGAACTCATAATAGAACTGAAATTGGGGGAAATTGGAATAAAATGATGACCTAACCCTAACCTGGTACACATACTATGTTCCGGTGTTCGCCATCTTGGTTCACATACTTCGGGAGTACCAATAATTCTTATGGTACGATGGACGTATAATAGAATCCAAATTTAAAAATCAAAAGTTCAAGTTTTTAAATAACTCTTTTTTGTTAATATTTCAAACGTATTATTTTTTGATTAAGCTACCCAAATGAAATATAGTGATTTTATAACATTTAAAGTAAGACACACAAACGGAAGAGAAGACGACAATTTAGTCAATTCATAATAATGACAGGAAACTCCCACTCGTGAGAATATTGTCTGTCATCAAAACGAGAGAAACAACATTTATTGCATTAATGCCAGTCACGAGGCACGATAGTTTTAATATCTGGTTAATGATTTAATCTTGGGTCAAGAATGGTCTGAAACTAAATAATATCGAAGCACATTTTTAAAAACTGTCAAATGCTCAAATAATATTTTTTTTAATGAGAAAATCACATAAATTCAGAAAATTTTTGCAACTGATTAGACTTGAAGTAGTATTTTATAGTATTTCCTAGTATTTTATTCAAGTATTTTATACTAGAAAACATTTCTGCATGCAAAATACATAATGTACTTGAACACTTCAACAGTGCATGAATTATGGCTTTTTAAAGATAACGTTATATAAGACTTCTTAATCAAGCAGCAATTCTTTATATTAAATATTGAGGTATGTAAAGAAATAACGAATTATAAAAAAGGATTTGGCCATTTAATTTGTTTTGGACATCTTGGATTAAATTTGAAATTTGTTATACTCTACCTCTTTGTCATAAGCAGCTTTCTTTAGCTCAAAATCACGTTTCGATTCGGCAATTTTTGCATCATTTTCAAATTTTGCCTTCATTTTTGCTTGATTTGCCAAAGCTTCTTTGATGCCAGCGTCCCTGTATAATAAAGATTGTTGTTTTGAGGATATTCATGCCCTGATAACCATAAGTATGAAATGAATTATTTTGTTTTTATAAAGTAGAAGCATTGACAATAATAACTGTAGAGATGGCCTATAGGCATATAGCAGTGATTGCCAACCCATGGGGCACGAGTGGTGACCTAAAACTGGGTCGCCTTTAAATTTCCTTGGGTTACTTGTTTATTTCAACAAAAATCCAGAAGTTACATTTTCTATTAAATTTTATTGTTTATTTTATATTTGGTATTGAAGTGTTGCTCAATAGTAATTGAATATATGGAAAGTATCAATTCGTAATAGACCTTGTTCATAGCGAAATGCTGGAAAATGGCATAAACGGCAAAAAAATATACAGATATATTATTATTTTATCTCTGAAAATCAGTGTATTAATTTGTTCAGCCAACAAATATCACAAGAGAATGAGCTGTGAAATACTACAAGCAAAGTAAACACTTTTACACACAAACCAAACATAAATGAATAATAAGAGAGATATTTATTCACGCATCAGTGATTTCACATGACGATAACTCATAAGTGCCCTTCGGTGCAGGAATTTTAGAAAAACAAAACGGTGAACAATTTGAGATGACTGGGATTTTTTTACACACAGGAATTTTAAGATAATTTGCTTGAGGCAAATCCACAAGCCTTCACTTAGTAGTAAAAGAGACTCGCCTTTGAGAAAAAGTTATGCATGAACACTGTAATTTTGAGATGTACTATAACTAAATATATTGATGAGTGGGGTGTACATAAAAGCATATTGTCTGACACCAAATAGTTTGTATAAGAGAATTCATGATCGACCAAGACATTTGGTTAATTAACAATAATAAACGTTTATGAGACTATTCATATTTGGAGATTAAGAAATGCACACGTAATGCCAAGATGTACTAAAACTATATAAATATTATACTATAGTAATGAATTTCTGGTCAGCAAATTCCAACAATGCTTTCAAAAATATAACAAATCATACACCAAAACAAGCTTTTATTGAAATTCAAATCTATGCACAACAACCACAAGATATATGAAATGCTTCCAGTTCATCTATTAATAATTTGCTAATTCTTCCAGAAATTCTATTTTTAACAGCTTTAATGAATAGTGTATTTAATATCCCATATATACAAATTTTAAAAAGAATAATAATTATTTTCATTTGTAATTTTAATCATCTGAAGTATGGATAAAACTTTTTTTCTGAAATCACTCAATTGAAATTTCCAAACAAATCAACTCAACCAGGAGGAAGGGGGCATTTTCAAACAGATTAAACAAATAGTCTAATGTTTATTATTATAGAAACATATTCTTCTACAGTAAATTTCCACACATTTGGCATTCACTGCCTACCCAATTTTATGACATTTTGTATACGATGTTTCCGAGCCTTAGATCAAAACAAGGTTCTGCATAAAGAGCCACGGATGCATAAGAAGCTACAATTTTCAAAAGACAGAAATGTTCTCAGCGCCATATTGCCAACATAATTTAATAAATAAACCCTTGATGAAATGGTAGGTCATGGGGTTCACATTTCCAACCTGTGCTGCCAACATTGTTAGGTAGAAAAGAGCTTACACCTAAGGGTACTCCCGAAGTATGTGAACCAAGATGGCAGACACCGGAACGTTGTATGTGTACCAGATTAGAGTTAGCCCATAATTTCCGGTACAAATACTACGGGAGTCACTCGGCTAGTCCCCGAACTCGTAATAGAACTAAAATAAGGAAAATTGTAATAGAATTATGGTCTAACCCTAACCTGGTACACATACTACATTCCGGTGTCCGCCATCTTGGTTCACATACTTCGGGAGTATTTAAGTAATTGCCATATAACATACAAAATCATATAAAATACCTTTTAGCTTCAGCTTCTCCAATCCTTGCATCTCTATGAATCTGTGCTGTTCTTGCTTTACCAAGAGCAGATAGGTATCCTTCACTGTAAATAGAAGAATACCATTTATACATGGGATAATTTTGCTCCAAGTCAAAAACATTACAGAACCCAAGATTCATATAAAAAATACAGAAAAGTGTTTGCATATCTCCATGTTTAAAAAATATCGTCAACCTTCAGTCTCTAATTTACCCATTGCTCAATTTTAAAAGTGAAAATTCACCCCAAGGTGTTTTTTTTATATATTTTTACTTCTACAAATAGGTTGAAAGGTTGAAAGGCAAAGAGGGCTTTGAAAAAATAAATTTTAATGTTGAATGTATATGCTCAAAATTGGTTGCATGCCATTGAGTTTGCATAACTACAATTAAAAGACGCAATAAAACTAATTTTTATTAACAACTAACACACAAACAGTTCACAGTAATCGTATCCGTAGTAAGAGCACAATAATATGCAACAGAGAACATCGCAATCCCAGAAAAGTTTTATCAACAATTGCCGCTGAAATCTAGGTTAAACAAATCTTATGAGTCTATGACACTCAAATTGAAAGGCCACAGAAAACTCTAATTAATAATTCAACACCATGCAGGGACATGCATTCACATATCTTATCTCTGTTGTACAATGTGATATAATAGTAGAAATCTATGAAAACCATCGAAAGTATGGAATTCTGAAGAATTAGGGATTTCAATTCTGACTCAAAAAAGTCTGAAAATACTCCCACTTCACAGCCCTGGCTTCAAACAAAGTTTCATAACAAAATACCTGTCTGTTACATCTTTGAGGGTATAAGATACAACAGTAATTCCCATATTGATAAGATCTGATGAAGCGACTTCAAACACTTGCTTTGCAAACTTCTTTCTATCCTGTACAGATTAAAATAAAATTTCAGTAACTAAAACTACTTGGAGTTGAATATTTTTACTCAGAAAAATGGTTGGTTTAGTTGACGAAAAAAGGCCGATAAATTTCATAACGATCGGCGCGTTTTTTTATTGTTGCTATGGAAACGAAACTTCAATTCAGACTTTCTATGAAGCGTACATTACTAGGGTCACTGGATAACCCATGTGAAAAATTTCATCCATAATGATCCAGCCATTAGGACGCTACATCTTAACAGACAGGCAGACAGCAGCACGACTGAGAATAAGGGTTTCCGAGTGCGGAGATCCAACAATAAGTGATCGATAGACATCCTTAGTTAATAGTGGCAAATTGCATCAAAAGTTAAACATGCCTGGTAGATTTCTTCAACAGTCATATTTCCCATAATGGCTCTCTGATGACCTTCCAATGTTTCAAGTGCAATATTTTGAATCTCTGTTTCTCTCTTACCAAGAAATTGCATGCAGGCATTTGCCAACATTTCTTGATTTTGTCCTTGAATCTTTACCTATTTGGCACATCAGCAATTGTTAAAAGAAATATAACATAGAAAGCAATTTAACACTAATCATTGATATTATATTAACTAGAAAAATAGAATTTAAAACACTTTGGCAATAATAAAACCATTGGGGATATTTATAGAACTTTGTTGAAATTGGAAATTTAATTTTAAAAAATGGTGCAATATATATGGTTCTAATATTCACAATCATTGCTTTTTACCATAAACATAATTAGCTAAACAAAAATCTTCAAAATGAAAGCAATACGAGGGCGTACCAAGAAGTGGACAAAATCTGAAAATTCACAATTTTTAATAATTCTATAATAATACATTTTGAATGAAATGTCAAATATATTCCAATTTGATTTATTTCCAATAAGGAATAAACTATCGTATACTTAGTTGCCAAACTATCTGATCTCTGGTCGCATCCAAAATTCGGCTTTTACGCGCATAAATCTGATCGCACTTAAGCGAAATGACGTTATACCAACTTATCTCCAACAGCTACAACTAGTACAATGTCTTACGATATGTGGGTTGTTTAGGCGAGTTCGACCTTATGTGAGGATATACAATAGGCAGCCCATATAACAACACACAATCATACTTTGTATGTGGATAATAAATTACTATACGCCCTCAGAATTAAAAATATGAACTCAATCCAATACGATAATTGTTGACTACATCGTGAGTTTGCATACTCTGAAAGGAGACCAATCATAACCACATCTTATGATATCTTATAATATAAATCATTCCGCAATTCCTATTACATAATAAGAATGCCTTTAAAAAAAATAATATCACCTGTGCTACTCCAACACAAGAGATGGGAACACCCTTCTGTGTATTTACGTTTTCACTTTTAATCCGTAATGTCATTGTATTCAACGAAATTCTTTGGATTTGTTGAATCATTGGCCATTTCCAAACTCGTCCACCAGGAATCATTAGTGGACGCCCGTATCCGCATCCAGATACAACCATGGCTTCGTTTGGTCCGCATGTCTCAAAACCCATCTTTTTGATCAATGTTTTGCTCAATTAAGATAAGCACAAATGGTATAAACTGAGAAGAAGTTTTTTATGAATGAGATTGAATATTACGATCGGTGCAACAATGAGACCTAAAACTGTATTGAAATTTGAAACATTTTAAAGTAATTTGCTCAAAGCATGTTCACACATACTCACTTAAAAGCAAAAGAGATTTATAATTAACCGACCATACATACCACCACTAACAGACTAAAGTGCCAATATCTACTGAGACTAAAAAAATTATTACAGTATAATTGGCGTTAATTAAAAAAAATTTTATTTTTGATTTGAAATACATAAAATTGCAACATTTTTATGCTCGTAATTACTTCTGGTTTGAAATATAAACAATTTTAACTTTTTTTATGCTTGCAAAGACTTTTTTTACTTTTGATTTGAAATACAAAAAATTGCAACATTTTTATGCTTGTGAAGGAAAAAACTTGCGTGTTTATTCATTATAATATCATATGTCAACTTCTCACAACAGTAAAATGAAAATTTTCCGAATGAAAATATTAGACTAGCCTATAAGTTAAAATAATTTATAAATATATAACATACATACTGCAGTACTGACATCAGGACATAAGTCAAATATACAAACTTAACTTGGGTCAATGTATTCAAATATTCAATTTCAGAATTTGGATGATACGGTACCGTAAATACAGACATATGAATGCAAATATTAGTCTTACCCGGACTCGAAATATTCCGATTAGAGTTACCATATACGTACTATGGTCCTTCTTGGCATATGACGAATATTGGAACGTATATACACCATAAGACAGAGAAACAGAGCAGTAAATAAGGAATACTATTTCTGTACCGTATACCGTATCTGTATACCGTATAGTCTGTATACCGTATAGATAGGCAGATAGGCGCGTGACAAGACCATAACTTTTCCTTACAATTACTTCGTCGGCGTCCGCGAAGTCACTTGCAATTCCGGATTTATATTTAAACTTTAAGAGCAATTTTAACCGTTGAACAAAACATCAAATACCGGTACACAATATATAGCACCGAGGTTGGGCAAAACCAAAGTTAGTCACTTTGGGCAGAACGGAAAATACCTGAAAACCCTTTTTTTTTCACAACTGCTGAACTGACACCAGCGATCTTGTGACTGATGATGCATGAAAGTCACGTGAAGCGAAAAGAATGGTAAACATTTCGACAAATGGCCACACAAATACAGAAATAATAAATTCGTCACACTTTCTGGACACCGTAGTTAAATTTGACAAGAAACGTTTATGCGATAAAGTAAAAATGCGATGATGAAGATTAACAATGATGTACGATAGGGTAAAATATATAATTTAAGAAAAGTTGCGTCGTGTAGTCGTCAGTAATTCGATTTTTTTCATTCGAAACGTTTATGCGATAAAGTCAAAATGCGATGATGAAGATTAACAATGATGTACGATGGGGTAAAATATATAATTTAAGAAAAGTTGCGTCGTCTAGTCGTCAGTAATTCGATTTTTTCATTCAGCACCTTGTTGTTACCGTACCATTACGGGGTCTGGTATAGTTTAGTACCACATGCACTTCTAGTTGGCCTGGCTCAACAATTTTTGCATATGCCAATCCTAACCCCCACCTGACTACGTCACCGAAAAATTACGTCATTTCGACGTCACATTGGCGTAATAAGGCCCACCAAAGTATGCGGATGGTCGTCCAAAACACGCAGATGATCACCCGAAATCGAGTAAGCAATTTCTTTCGTTTTCGAGTTCGTTATCGGCGCAGATGCCATTTCGGGCGATTGTACTTTGGCAAGCCCTATGACGTGTTTGTGACGTCGTATCGACGTAATTTTTGGATGGCATAGTCAGGCGAGGGTTAGGAATAACATATGCAAAATTCGATACGCCAACTCTGCAACTGGAAGTACTTGTGGTACTAAACTATACTAGACCCCCATTGCGGAACCTTCGGTCAGTGGTTAGGATGTATTCAAACTACTTGTATCGGTTTATGCAGTAATGTCAATATTCATATTTTAGCTTAGGAGCCCAGCTGTATAAATTATTGAGCTTTGTCCTATAGAATGTTTATTTTTTCTTTTAAATTGAATCTTGAAAAATACTAAAAGGCAATTATGGTGGATGATGCAGAAGCCCAAAATGATGAACTAATTGCTCTCGAAAGCATATTTGAAGACCAGGATATTTTAAAGAGCGAAACAGTAAATGACTGTGGCACCATTTTCAAATCTGGAAGCTTGACAATTCAACCAAATATTGAAAATCTTCCAATCACTTTTACATGCAAATATGCTCAAAGGGATGAGAGTTCGAGTAATGATATTTCAGCTCCTGTGGACTCGATCCATCAGATTTCATATCTTCCGCCTGTGAACTTAAATTTTATTCTCCCAAGCGACTACCCGTCAACAAATCCCCCAAAAATAACTTTGACTTGCGTCTGGCTGGATCGATCCCAACTTTCTAATGTTTGTGAAAAACTGGATGAAATTTGGGAGGAACAGAAAGGGCAAGAGATTCTTTACACATGGTTTCAATTCTTGCAAGAAGACTTGCTAAATTTTCTTGGGCTTGCTGAGGAGATTTTAATCAACCAAGAGAAAATGAATGAAAAAAGGAAAATGAAAGAATTGGATCACAGGGTAATGCAAGACGTGGGGAGGTTTTCGGATATTTTGCCTTTCGTTTTGGAATACGATGAAATGCAAACGAAAAAAGCATTCAATAATACAATTTTCGACTGTAATGTTTGTTTTTCAGAAAAATATGGAAAAAATTGTATTCAATTTAAGGACTGTGGGCATGTCTATTGTGTGGACTGTATAAAGTCATATTTTGATCTCCAAATCAAGGAAGGGAATATGAAAGCATTAATTTGCCCTGAACATAAGTGCGATTCTCAAGCATACCCTGCTCAAATTAAAGAACTGGTCAGCAATGAAGACTTTGAACGATATGAGAAAATGTTATTTCAAACGACCTTAGATACTATGAATGACATAATGTATTGTCCGAGAAAATCTTGCCAAAGTCCAGTTGTTGTTGAACCTGATGAAACAATCGGGATTTGTTCCGTTTGTACGTTTTCTTTTTGCCCCTTTTGTAAATTAGCGTATCACGGAATTGAGCCTTGTAGGCTCAAACAATCTGCACTTCGGGATGTTTGCGAAAAGTATAAAGACGGAGACGACAAAACAAGAAAGGAACTTGAAACAAAATACGGTGCAAAAATTTTACGATTAACCATGCAAAATCTGGAGAGCGAGAAATGGTTAACAGACAACTCTAAAAATTGTCCGGGATGCGGCGCTGCAATAGAAAAGAAAGATGGTTGTAATAAAATGACTTGCTATAAATGTAAATGCTATTTTTGCTGGCTATGCATGAGGAGCCTCAGTTTAGCAAATCCATACGATCATTATAACACTATGAACAGCAGGTGCTTCAATAAATTGTTCCAGGGTGTCAATATGGATGATGATTTGCCAGATGATATGGACTGGTTTTGGTAACACTTTGGTACCTTATGGGAAGCTCAAAAATATTTGGTGCTACTGTCGCGTTAGGTCTCCCACCTAAATGCAGCAAAATGAACAATAAATCGTCATAATAAGATTTGCTGTTCAATTTGGGCAATATATGGCTGTGCTGTGGACCTCGCACCATAGTGGCACTGAATATTTGGTACTCCTGAAGTATGTGAACCAAGATGGCGGACACCAGAATGTAGGGTTATGTCATAATTTTATTCCAATTTTCCCTATTTTAGTCCTATCACGAGTTAGTGACTATCATAGTATTTGTACCTGAAATTATGGCCTAACCTGGTACACATACTCCAGTGTCCGCCATCTTGGTTGGTTTATTTATAGTGTAGAAAAATTGTGATATTCTTCAGAATCTATTTATCTTTTGTTTGAATAATGAATTAGAACTATCAGTATTGTATTGCTTCATTTAGCTGTTTAAATCGATTTATTTAGAACTTCGCCATAAAAGTTCAACAGATTGTCATGGAATCAAAGTAATATTTGTGTGTCGCTTGCTATCGATAAAGAATGTTTTTAATGTGACCTTCAAACAACTTCTTCTAATCGCAGTGAAGGATTTCATACTTGGAAAAAAATTCTGATGAATTTTCCATTCACTTGGTTAACAGGACGATGGGCATAATAAGTATTTATTTAGCCTGAGGGAGAAGAGAATCATTAAGACTGTTTAATCATATTGCAAATCATGACTGATAGCTCAAGTAATCAACACCCCCTCCCGTCAATTGGTTGCAACTAATTCCTGCACTTATTTTACCTCTTTAGTTATTTATTTAATGTAGTGCTTATTCAGTCAATAAATATCTCTGACTTGGCTAGTACATGACTTTATACTTGTCTACATCGGGCATTTGTTAGATGTATTACTAGTTCAAGGTCTAAATATATTCTTTAAAAAAGCTTATTCGATTCTGACCTTCTCGGATTCCATTTCATAATACAGGAATGATTATTTTAAATTCCTTACTAACCGCCGACAAAGCTGTAATTTATGAAAATGAATTTGAACTTTCTTCATCAACCTTTTAAAGGATTCAACTTCAATTTTACAGAGATGTCACTAGTTTGGGCTTTTTACAACTAATAGTAATAACGCATCCTTCTGCCAATGTAAGTTAGCATACTGTTTGCAAGCAATTTCACCAAATGCAATCTCATTTCAAATAGATATTTTACAGAAACAATTATAAAAAGTATTTATTTTTTCACAAATTCTTTGAGCAATAGTTTGCGAGAACCCGAAAATAAATAATTTTTCTCTGCAACCCTTCAATGTGGATTATAAAATTCAAACAAGGTAACTTCTAAGGAAAGCATTTGAGTCGCAATTAGCAAACACGTTCGAGAAATACAGTATGATAAGACTTGGTGCTTTGATACATCAGATTTAATTGCCAAGGGCACATGCTGAGTAACATATTTTACACATCAGTATTCAATCACTTGAATGACGTCTCTCAGGGAATCAGGGGAATTTAGTATAAGCTGCTGCTTCAACCAAACTAAAACTAGTGTTGTTTGGTGAAGCAGTGATATACTATTATTCTCGTTAGTGGCTGCCAAGAATAGTAATTCTAGATTTCTAAAAGTCTGACGACTCAAAATTTCGAATATTCCAGAAATATACTTGTAGATTCTCAATGTAACAGGAATCCGATGTCAATCCCAGCCAGATGGAACTTTTCAAAGGTCCTTCCTGCGTCAGATAAACCGTTTTCGCAATCATTTCAAATTCAAACAAAAAATCAGTCTAAATCCGAATCAATAACAATATTTAGTGGCAAATGTTCTTCACAGCAATTTAATTGAGCATTTTTTATGATTGGGGGATGTTTTGGATTCTGGTTTCCTCTTATAAGCTCCATTACAAATTCAAAATTTTCTGTTAATTCTTCTGCACTTTGGTTAATCCGACCGACTACAACTGACGACTCATTTTCTGATTTGCTTAAATTTGTAATAATCGTACCGGTCTTAAACTCCTGCAGTTTTCCAATAATATCTTCAGTAATTCCACTGTGTCTTTTCGGCATCAATTTTCCAATAGCTTTTGTGGCTTCTTTATTTCCAAATAACTTTGACTTATGAAACTCTAACGTTGTAACAAAAGCATCAAACTTTAAATTTCCGAAACTTATTTCTTGTATTATATCATCGCCACCAGCTCGGCTTGCGCCTTCTTGCAATGCTTCTGTGATAATGTCAACATTCTCTGTGAAGACACATATTTTGTTATCGTATTCAAATTCATTTGGCAGTTCAACAACTGAAAATATCTGCTGATGCCGACCCTTTTTCATGGGGGCGGGGTGAAGTTGCATATTGAGCTTAACAATTGAATCAGGGTCAGAAAAATCCAGCTCTGTATATCTTTTCAAGGTTGTAATCGCTTCTAAAATATCATAAAACTTTGGTTCATAAAGATCTGCTAAATAGACATCGTCTACAGGTGTTTTCAATAGCTTATTAACTTCTTTAGTGGGAGCTTTACGTTTCACTATTAATTTCTTTTTGGGTCCAAAATAACATTTATTACTGCAATGGAACTTTCTCTTCGGTATCGTTGAAGAATTTTGATTGCAATCATTTTTATATTGTGTGGTTTTTCCCAATAATGGAAGTATCGTTTTTATGCCAGAATACTCCAAAAATCCTGTAGTAACTCGAGAGTGCAAGGCTGTGCAACGCCAAGCTGCCGACATGATTTTCCACAGTAAAATTTCCTTATTTCTTCAAGTGAAGACCAAGTCTTCTGAAATATTCTATCTAATGCTGTAACAGTGTAATTAGTGCATGAGCCATTTGAGATTATAGTATCCAATCATTCTAATTGAAGGTGACAACCTAATACTGCCCCATCAATAAAAGTTAACAGAGAAAAATGAGGCACTAAATTAGCAGACAGGATTGGGGAAATAACACCAGAACACAGTTTAATCCAATTTGAAAATACTTTCAAATACGAGATTAAGTTTAATTTGACATGAACCTCTTTGTGTTTTACAAATCAAATATCAAACCCCCAATATGAATAGCAAAATGAGGAAAAGCATCTGACAATGCATTTCAAACTAATAACTGGGCATTCCTAACCGGAGATGAACTAGCAATCGGACGAAAGGCAATCTTATGGGCCTTTCTTCCTCAGGAATAAAAGGATAAGTACAGAAGTATGATTATGAAAAATACAGAAATCAGATCTAGCTGTCTATTATACCTCCATATTTGCTCGTACGTCTATCAAGTATTTGTTAACCCTTGTTATTATATATTTTATTCTTGGCTAAATTAATACAGATAACCTGAAAATTAACAGTCAAATAGAAACAATACTGGAAGAACACGGAAAACATGCAAACACTTCAAGGCCTTCCAAGCCGAATGGCAAAGGTCAACAAACCGCTTCATTTACTCCAGCGGTTTACGACGCAGCGTGGAGATTTATAATAATTAAAATTAAAACTAGAGGCATCGATGTATCAGTATCATCTGTAATTTATCGGCATCGACCAATAAATATTCAAAATTTCAGCTGCATGATCTTTTAGAGAAGGGTGGTCCAAACCGCGGGCCGCATCCCGCCAACACATTTCGTGCGGCCCGCCGAACAATTAGACGGCAGAAGACGCAAATGCTTTCGCGATTTTGCACACAATTAATACGTTCTTACTACATAAAAGTAATACGTTGCAAGTTTGCACGAAGGTATAAAATGGATGTAGTGCTATGTTAAAATACTCCCATAGCGCGTTTCATTTGTCTTTGGCCCAACCTCAAAAAGAAGTTTTGTCGGTGGTACGCGACCAGAGTAAAAACATAAAAGTGAATCAGTAAAAGGTTGAAAACCACTGCTATATGGGAATGCTGTTCTGTGATCGGTAAAAGAAGAATGAATCGTCTTGTGCAGACAGGAACGAGCCCATGAGATGAGCTATCATCAAGTAACTCCCTATTTAAAGAGACGTTTAGTGCCTTTATTTTAGTCGAAACACTCCTCTGTGACAACAGTGACAAACCGCTGAGCTGACTTAGCGCCGTGTGATTCATATTTTTTTTTTGATCTCGGTCTGAAGTCCCAACTTGGACGGACTTGGTTGTTTTTTGACGGTAGCACTATAGGCCTGCTCGCGCTACAAGTAGGCTAATAATTTTTTTCAAATATAACAATTCATCATACAATGAGTGTAGAAAAAAGGTGACCGAGGCAAACCGAGAGGAAACGTATTCCCTTACCCACAACAACGTTAAACCACAGTGTCTGGCAGGGTTGCCATATTGGCTTTTTTAACGCCAAATTTGCCATTTTTGGCTTTTTTCAAACGCGTTTGGCGTCGGAATTTCTTTTTGGCGTTTTTTTGGCTTATTTCAAATCTATCCTAGTGTCTATTATTAAAATCATATGAAATACAATATTTTGTGTGTAACAACTGAACAATAGCCTGTAGGGGAAAGTGGGGAAGGTTGGGACACTTTTTTTTTTTTGCATATTTTGAGCCGTCAATTCTGCATATTCTCTTAAGTTTGCGGGACCAATGCATAGAGGGGTAAATGTAGTTTTTATTCAGCGACAAAGAAATTCCCTTGCGACACACATCTTACTACCAAAATGCTTCGAAAAACGTCTGTCAAGTGTCCCACTGTACCCCACTTGTGGGGCACATTCGGACAGACCCTGGGTCACAATGGGTCAGTCTGTCAAAATTCAACGAAGTATGCCCTTAAACATAAGCAATTAATCAGCATAATCGTCTAAAGAACGGGAGGACTTCAAATTTGAAGATTTAATATTTTTAAAATCAATGTTCAACTGAAATAGTTCAGATATTTTGACAAAACATTTTGCAAAAAAATTTGATTATTTCCTCCCTCGAATCTAAATCTGGAAATATTATTGATTCTCGAATATATTCCATATTGGGCCATGGGTCGAAATCGAAAGAAACCATAATATTACACAAAATATAACGCATCTCTAAGTCTCTAAGCACTTATTGTATCAAACACTGTCGAATTGTGCCCTGAAAAGTATGTCCCACTGAACCCCGGTCCATTGTTCCCCATAGGGAACAAATATTTTCAGACCATCCTACGGCGAAATTCGGAAGGCACATCCACTCGCTAACGTTATGAATATTTCACAGTTGACTGAAGAATATCAGACGATGGTTTGTCTCGTTGGAAAGGATAAACTAAAAAAAAAGAAAAAACTGGAACGGTGAAATTTTACTTTCAACCTCCCAAAACCAATTTCACCCCATAGCTTGCGCCGCTCTACCCGTCCGTTGTCCGTTCGCGGGAACATTGTAACTCACCGAAGGGCGGATTGAAACATCGAACCGCGGACAGGATTGCGGATATAGTATCAGTGTGATAGCTGATTTTCCACTGTGCCCCATGTCCCAACGGCTACTTAACATAAGGATTTCCTGGAGCATCGATTTCCTTGTTTGTTACATTAACTCTTAACCATACCCAATAAGAAATAAGTGCAGTTTCTGCAGCTGCTCAGACAGATGTTCAAGCAGGGTTGTAAACATTGCCTCGTTTTTATAGTTTTGCGTGTTATTTGTCAGTCCACGTTCTGTTTCCAAAAAATAGTTGTATAACTCAATTTTCATTATGCCTGATGTAGTTTATGTGAGCTTTCAGGTTTAGTTTAATTCTGCAATTGCAGTAACGATGTGATTAACTACGCTAAAATTGCTGAATTAGATATCAGTGGTCCACCTGTGAGCGGCAGGGGGTTAGATAATTTTTTAATAAAATTGATGGTTTATGAATTTTTAAAGTGAAAAAAATTTCCAATAGTAAAGTACGATATAGGGAGAATTTTTTAAGATGTAGCACAAGTTTAAGTAGAAACATATTGTAGGTATATTACATACTGACAGACTGAAGCGGCACCCTGTATTGTAGACTATATATTGAATGGTAAAATAATACTGCCCGCTTGATATTTATTTTACTTTCTACAGTTCTATAGGAACTTTACTTTTCATTTGTGTGCCTCACTGAATGAACTGATGGCTCTACATCATCATCAGTACGTTGCCAAGGGCTCAAAATCTGACAAATCATGGGGCTTTTGTACTTAGTAAAATTGTTGGCTTTTTCTGGCTTTTATTATGTCTTGATTTGGCTTTTTTTGATCGCTGGGGTCTGGCAACCCTGGTGTCTGGTGTGTTTTCAAGTAATATCCGTCACGGAAGAATATAATTTTAAGCGACATTACAAAACCAATCACGAGAAAAGATACCGAAAATACCACGATATTACTCGGGAAGCAATTTTGAAATAACCAAAGGCTTTATATAGTTTCCATGAAAAACTGATTAGAACGATAAACTCTCATTCCTAAATATATTTGAAGTGAGTAAACTCGCGATGTTTTGATCACTTTGGGGTTTTCTCGGACTGCGGCCCGCGAGACCTCCTCAAAAGTTTTTGCGGCCCTTCAACCTCCCAACCTTGGACCACCTTGTATTAGAGTAAAAGTTGTCAGACGGGTAACTAAAATTATTTTTGGCCGAATTTTCCCAGGTTACTTTTTATAGCATATGCGTAAATGTTGATGTACGGCGTTTGTCCGAAAAGTTGATCATTATTGCAATCCATTCTGTTTAAAAAGTCCACTTTAAATAGTGGCACAGGTGCTAAAATTTAGTGATTTCTACTCGATAATGAACTTTGAAAATTTTATATAGGTAAATGTTTAGTGGTACCGCTATCCTTGTCGACTAAAAATTCTCTAGAGTGTGGAACAGCATTCCTTCTATCAGCATTTCAATGACAATACTCGTCAGCAAATTGTCTGCATCTCGCAAATATCTTTCTTCTTGGCGTCACATCCGATGGTTAAATCTTCCTCGCGCTGCATTGTCGATACAGAATTTTCGCTTTCGTTGGTATTACATGTTTTGAAAGAAACGTCTGGTGTTGCCTCAACCCGTCGCCGCCTGTGAAATACTTTCATTTTTAATTATCAATAAGCATTCCTGCACTTCCCCCTTAACATAGCCATCATTTATGACAATATAAAGGTGAATTTAGGAAAACGGCTTGTTCGACGCGTACGATATTGAAGACTAAATTAGATTTGTTAGAAGATTATTGTGCCTTGTTGAGGACCGGGAATAGAGGTGTCAAAGCCACTAGCAACTTCGTATAATACGAGCTTCACATTTATTTCGGGGAAAAGACAAGAAATATTTAATCCGGTGGCACAAACGAGCGGCTATCAAACGCTACCGCTACATTGCATGGCGCGTAATAAAATAAACAGATCTTTTGTACAAAGTCCCGCCAATAAAAAACACCCCCTTCCACCGCATAAAATAATTTAAAAAATAGCAATTATCCAGTTCCCGCGAGGCCTAGGCATGCAGATTGTGCAGGTTATTCAAATTATTCCTGACCACAACTCTAAACCTAATTTGATAATTACTAATTTATTATTTTAAAAATTTCTCAAATCTCACATTTTTGCATTAGTGGCGGGGATTTTGTACAAAAGATCCAGCGACCTCCTCAGACATACCTTTTCTTCAAGCCTGCGAACCCGATCAGGGTAGCCAGAGATGCAATGGTAAATGTTTTCCTAACGCTTAGTATGATGCGCTAACCGTCGAGCCATCATAGTTTTTCGATCTCTCCTTATATATATAATACAATCCATATAACTAACCTTTGTTGTTGCATGACAATATAAATAACTGCAATAATGACGATTAGTAACACAGGCGCTCCAACTCCCACGATCAAGTAGTTGATTTGCCCGAAACCACCATTATTCGAATCCGTTCGTTCCTGATTTGAATCTGGAGAACATAATGAACGGCTTTTAAAA